CTTACGGTAATGCTGAGAAAACAACAATTTGCCTTGTTCACTCTGTTAGCTTTGTACTGATGTCGCAAAACCAATGGCAGCTCTTAGTTTGAATCAAGGCAGTGACACAAAATTCCCCAGTTGTCACTATGTACTTTACCACCACTTACTGGCAAGGGGAAAAACAACTCTTTCACTTAAAACAGTCCTTGATAAGCAGTAAAAAATATTAATTTTATTATTAAACCTTTGTCCTCAGGCACACATCTTTTTATTATTTTGTTAGTCAAAATGGGAGATGAAACAGGTACAATAAAGCACCGCTGCTGCATACCATTATTTTCTCAAGGAAGAGGATGTAGGCCATTATTTGAGTTGCAAGGTGAACTTGCTGCTTTTTCCTTGGAACACTATTTTTTCTTGAAAAAAAATTATGGAGCCTGTCCAGGTGACTCAGTTGGCTGGAGTGTCGTCACATATACTAAAAGGTTGCTGGTTCGATTCCCAGTCAGGGTGTTACTGGACAGGGACCAGCCAGAAAACGGGTCTGTCTCAGGCCAGCCTATAGTACTCGGGTTCTTGACTTTGTGTGGGAAAGATTTGCAATATGAGTCCAGGTGATTTTGAGAGTATCTTTATTAAAGCTGGGGAGAGTGAAACAGAGGAAGGACTTAGGGTAGAATAAGCAACAGGAGAGAGGCGAGGCGGCGCTTGGCTTTTGCTCCTGACAAACAGTACAAGAAAGAAGTGAGCTGCTGTTCAAGGCAAGGCTGCTGTTAGCTCGCTCACTGGGAAGTGAAGGTCACAGTGACAGAGGTGAGCCAATGCAGGGCTTTTTTTAGTTCACTGGGAAGTCAGAGAAAAAGGGGGCCTTAGAGATAGAATTGGGGGTAAGCCAGGGGTGAGCTGCCTCTGCTCACTGGTTACAAGTCTCATAGGGTCCCTTAGAGTCTAGGAGGAAGTAAAAAGTTCATGACCAAAAGTACACGGATGAGTTCTAGAGCAAACCAGCACAGAGTCTTTGCCCTGAAGGCTTTTTATCTCTCCTTGCTGCACACCCCCCCACACCCCATGGGCAAGAATCTTAGGAGAGGGTTTCAGCAGAATGTTCATCAGCTTTCCAGGTGGGATTTTAATATGCTAATACATCAAAATGAACATATGGGGTGGGGTTATTCTGTGGTCCGTTTTGCATTTATTTTGGGTCTGTCTGGCTCTAAGGTGATTTTCGTTATTTGTTCTTCTGACTTCATGTGTCTTTGGGTTTAGCTGGCACATATTAGGTCTCTGTTCTCTCTCTGTGACGAGGGTGACTTAAACTATGTTTTCTCTGGTTAGAGAAGAGAGGTATTTGCTCTCAACTGAGAGCTGGTTAGGGGAGATAAGGTCTTATGATTCACCAGCTGGCTATAAGTTGTCCAGATTGTTTGGTCTTATTTAATTTTCTTGTCTCAGTTTCCTATTCCACTTGCCCAAGAATTCTCGCAGCTTTTTACTGTCCTGTCACAAGGGCACATTCCTAAATTTTGGGTTTTGTCCCTGATCAGGGTGCGTTTGGAAGGCAACCAGTTGATGTCTCTCTCTTTCTCTTTCTCTCTCTCTCTTCCTTCCTGTCTCATTGAACATATCCTTGGGTGAGAATTTAAAAAATTATGACAGACAACCTGTAGTTATTCAGAGTTTGGTAATTGGTAAACATTTTCTTGAAAATGACAGCATCAGCCCTCGCTGGTGTGGCTCAGTGGATTGAGTTCTGGACTGTGAATCAAGGGATCACCAGTTCAATTCCCAGACAGGGCACATGCCTGGGTTGCATTGCAGGCTGGGTCCCCAAATGGGGGAGTGCAGGAGGCAGCCACACATCAATGTTTCTCCTTCCTTTCCCTGCTCTAAATAAATAAATAAATAAATGCATCATCCCAGTACTCCAAGGTTGTCAGTTCGATCCCTAGTCAGAACACACACAAGAATCAACCAGTGAATGCATCAATAAGTGGAATAAAAATCAGTGTTTCTCTTTCTTTCTCTCTCTCTCTAAAATCAGTAAATATATATATTTTTAAATGAACACTGTTGGCCCTAGCCAGGTAGCCAGTTGGTTAGAGCATTGTCCCAACATACCAAAGTTGCAGGTTTGAACCCCAGTCAAGACACATGTAAGAAGCAACCAATGACGGGCTGGTGTAGCTCAGTGAATTGAGCGTGGGCCTGCGAACGAAAAGAAGCAACCAATGAATGCATAAATAAGTGGAACAACAAACTGATGTTTCTCCCTCTTTTTTCTTCCTTCCTCTCTCTCAAACCATTAAATAATTTTTTTTTAAATAACAGTCTGTTACTTGAAGAAAAACAATTGGCATGATTTGTTGCCAGGGATAAAATTCTACCTAGCCTTCTTGGAAAAAGTAAAATTTTGGAAAACTTGAATATGCTACCTTTAGATTCACAGATTCCCAATATTGTTAGACTTTTCTGATATGATTGGTGACAATATCAATGAATGTTAATTTTTTTATATTGTATAATAAAATGGGTCAACATTTACAAGATCTGCACAAGTGAGTGAACCAACATTTTCTAGAAAACCAGTGTGTGATGTTACAAAAGTACAGGTGGGTAATAAAAGATCCTTTCAAACTGCAAAATAGACAGATGGATCAGAATGTAATAGAACACAAAAAAGGCACTGAGGTCATTTCAGATTTCACATTGCAACCAACCTTCAAGAAACTGTTAGCCAGAAGGGTCTCAAGGTCTGGACAGTTCTTACTAAACTCCACTTGTTAAATGTTAAAATGTAGCAGATGCAGCTATGAACAGGAGAAGCCTGACAGGAACCACATCAGGATAAATGCAGACAACTGCAAAGAAGAATTCAACATCGAACTGACCAATAGTGTATATAAACAATGTCTAAGCCTCCCTTCAGAGAGACAGAGCCTTGGATGTGAGTCCCCTGTACTTGTTACAGACAGTAAAACTACATGTGACAACCATGCTTCATTCTTTTTTTTTTTTTTTTAGATTTTATTTATTTATCTTTAGAGGGGAAGGGAAGGAGAGAGGAAGAGAAATATCAATGTATGGCTGCCTCTCATGCGTCCCCTGCTGGAAAATGGCCTGCAACCCAGGCATGTGCCCTGACTGGGAATCGAACCTCGATCCTCTGGTTCGCAGGGCCATGCTCAATCCACTGAGCTACACCAGCCAGGGCTCATGCTTCATTCTTGAATAGAACACCCCAGCTGGTGAACCCCTTGAGTTTGGTTAACAAAACTATCAGTGGTTGAGTGTTAGTGTAGTATCAAAGAATATCCACAATGATCTTCACAAGATATTAAATTACTTTCTTTTCCAGTTATTTATCCATGTGAGACTGGATTTTCTTCTCATGTTTCGACTAAAACAACAGTGCAATGGAGTGAAGGTGGAGGAAGATAGAAGAGTCCAGCTGTCTTAAACCAGATGGTAAAGAGATTTTTCAAAAACATAGAACACTGCCACTCTCCTCACTCACTTTTTGGTTTAAAGATATAATTATGTAGTTAATTTATTATTGCTATTTTCAATTCTCAGCTTAAATTTATACAATAAATGGTAAATATTGATAGATGTGACCCGACATAACCAAAAGCTCTTTGAGCTGCTTAATAATTTAAAGAGTGTACCTGGCCCATTGTCTTTGCTCTGTTCATGTCTGTATAACTGCTTATCATATGGTGATTATGCAGATTTTTTAATAAACTAAGAACTTTTAAAAAAACTGAGGCAAAGAGAAGTAACTGCTCAAATCATGCAGCTAGCAAGTGCCAGAGCTGGTATTTGAACCCAAGCATCTGCCCCAAGCTCATGTACTTCCTTTGGCAACATGCCTTAAAAGCCTTTAAAATATTTACTTTCTTTGACCTGTTACGAGGGAGAGACCAGCATCAGCAAACCGCGCCCCACCCCCTCACCCACCGCCATCCAAGTTTGTTCCTTAGTTCTTGCCTCACTCTTGAGAGACGAATTCAACTGAGAGACAACAGATAAAGTGGAAATGAGACAGCAAGTTTATTTATGAAACACATGAAAGCACAAAGCTGCAAGCAGGCACCTGACTAGTCTGAATGCCCCACATTCAGAGCAAATGAAAATGTTGGTAAATTTGTTCTATACTCTTGAGCTGAGGCTACAAGTGGGCACTCAGCTAATCTGAGTGCACAGACTATTTGGGTTCAGGGGTTATATACATTAATCAGCTTCTAGGTTCCTTCTTCCTCTTCCCCTTCTAACCTTGGGGATAATGTACAGCTACAAAAGCTTTCTTTCTTAGCTAGTAAAGGATCCTTTTCTTAAGAGAAATTGCTATAGAGGCCTCCTGTCCCCGCAGAGAGTCCTAAGGACTCCCTCCGGCACGATTTGTGATGTTCAGAACGCCGGCAATCTTATTGGACCCAACTCAGGACTGCTGAGTCAATGACCGAGACATGACGCCCTCCTCCTCCCTGCCTTAGATCACTACCTGTCTTACCTAAAAGACCTCTTTCAGGAATTTAAAGAAAGGGGATGATCAGGGGTGTCAGAAATTTATATACAAAGATGTTTATGCGAAAATAAAATTAGTAGCAACCAGTAGACAGTGGATGATTAATGGCAAATAAACTCATGAAAGGCTTTGAAGTACACTGGAGAATGTCCAGGAAAAGATGTGGCCCCAGGAGAAAGGACTTGGGGACAATGGAAGCCATGCAAGCTCAACCTGGGGTGGGAGGGAGGAATCTGCAGTGGCAGGGCTGGGAGAAAGCAGAGAGTCTGTCTTGGAAGCGTGTTACGGTCCCTGTTGCTATTTGGACTTGAGGAGGGGGAAAGGTATGGATTTGGCCGTGGCGGGTGTGGCTCAGTTGGTTGGGTCAACGTCCCCTTGCCAAGAGGTTGCATTGGTTTTCCCTCAGGTGCCTTCGGAAAGCAACCGACTGATTGTTCCCTCTCGCATCTATATTTCTTTCTCTTTGTCTGAAAGCAATGAGAAAAAAATGTCCTCGGGTGAGGAAAAAAATTTAATATGCGGATTAGGATGCCGGAGGATAGGAGAGAACTGGAGGACAGAGACGGACTCCCTAGGCAGACCCCTAGGGAGCTGGACCGTTCTTGCCCGGGGCCGGGGGCCGGACCCGCAGCAGCTTTGGAGCGACTCTGGAGGGAGGCGGAGGGAAGGGGTGTCAGGGGAGCGTGGGGTTTCCTAGAGAGGAGCAGCGTCTTCACTCTTCAAACGCCGAGGACACACAGCCAGAAGACCAGAGGCTCCACCTGGCGAAGGGGAACGGTTGGAAGGAGGGGTCGCACGAGCTGTGGAAGGTGGCGGTGCACGGAGGGCCGGGGGCGCCGTGCGGGAAGGGAGGTGAGGCGTCGGGCCACGCAGAGGCTTAGCGCTCGGGGCCCCACAACTTCCTGTACCGGAGTATTCCAGGTCCACGGCACAGGGTGGTCGGACAATGACAAGTGTCCAGTGGCTGTGAGAAGGACTGATGGACGAGGTCCGGACTCGACGGGCGATGGCGGGACTGGTGGGCACCAGCGCTGGGCACCGCTGGCCCAATGGACGAGGGCTGGACCAATGCGCGAAAGTTTGACCTATCGGTGGGGCTGGACCTACGGTGAGGAGCGGGACCAGTGGACGAGGGAGGGACTAATACCAAGGGTGCTGGGCCATCCGGGAAGCTGGGCTGGGCGGAGTCAGTGCCTTCAAGGGGCTGAAAGAGAGACTTACCCTTCGCTCTCGCAGGAAAGAGACTGGATTGAAAGAGGCCTTTAAAAAATTCCCCAGCTTCCTCCGGAAGGATCTGGGATCACATCCTTGGGGAGGTCCGAGGGTCGCAGTTAAACCCACTTGCTTAGTGCTGGGAAATAGCATCAGAGGATCCAAATCCAGGCCTCAGAGTTGCAAACACCACCGTCCACCGCCCACCATGCTCCCTACGCGCGGATTGGTCAGGTCGCTAGTCCGGCGTCCGTTCTGGGAAGACCTGGAAAAGCGGAGTTTACCCAAGGAATAGGGTCCCCCCGCGTCACTACTGCGCATGCTTGCGTCGTGACCCCCAGCTTGAGGTGACTGCCACTATCAAGGCGGGGGCTGCAGGCACAGAAACTAAGGGACTTGCTGAGGCTCAGTGGCTGGAGAGGGAGGACTCCTCTGCGGTTTCTGCCCTGCCTGTGCCTGGTAAGGACGGGCCACAGCGGGTCGGGAAGGGTCCTGGGTGTGGACGCGCCCCTCCTGACAGGGGTCTTTCTTGCTTCCTAAGGGCTGCTGATTCTGGGAGTTTCCCCTGGCTCTGCGTCGCTGCACTCAGGCCCCCCCTCCCTGTCCTTCATCTGTGGTACATCTCCTTTCTCCTCGCTCCTCCTTCTCCCTCTTCCAACCCAACCGACCCGGGGACAGAGCCCTGACAGACACCTTAAATCAGGGACCCCTACATTGGCCTGCCTTTCCTTGACTCCATCCAGTACTTCTCCCCTCCCTGCGCCCATTTTCGGCCCCGTCCCACCCTTGTGGATCTAGATGTCCCCGCAGGGATGGAGGTGTGAGGTACTGGGGTGGGGGAAACACTCAAAGGCTTGGTCTGGAAGCAGTGAAAATGACTGGAGATAATGGGAGCTGGGGCCATTTGGGCGCGGCACAGACAGGTGTGATGACAAATTACAATGGGTAGAGGAGGAGTAAAAGTAACTAATATTCTGAGCCATGGTGATTAGGGGAAAGGCGGTGCCATGACATGAAATTCCCACTTTGGAGAAGCTCTTCCCTGCATACTTTAGCAGTTCTTGAGTTTTTTTGGATCACTGCTGCTTTGAAAATCCCCTTGTAAGGATATGTACCTGCACAGCTAAGCTGGCCCATCATCCCACCAACCATCCATTCACAGCCTTCCCATGAACCGCATGGGACAGTGATTATGGGGGGCGGGGGCAGCTATCAATATCACTGGGAATTTTTAAAAAATTCTCACCCAAGCCCTGGCTGGTGTAGCTCAGTGGATTGAGCGCGGGCTTGCGAACCAGACAATCGCGGTTCGATTCCCAGTCAGGGCACAAACCGGGGTTGCAGACTGGTTCCCTGCAGGCCACTTCCCAGCAGGGGACGCATGAAAGGCAACCATACATTGATACTTCTCTCCCTCTCTCTTTCCCTTTCCCTCTAAAGATAAATAAATAAAATATTTTAAAAAATTCTCACCCAAGGATATGTTTATTGATTTTAGAGAGAGAGGAAGGGAGGGGCATGAGACGGGGGAAAGAGAAAAAGAACCATCGATATGAGAGAGAAACATCAATCAGTTGCCTCTCTCAGGCACATCAGTCAGTGCCTAGGGTGTATGCATTCTAGCTGGGAATGGAACCCCCATCCTAAATATGAGCCCTGACAGGGAACCGAATTAGCAACCTTTTGGTAAATGGGATGATGCTCCAACCAACTTAGCCACCCAGACTGGGACCTCTTTATTTCATGTTAAAGACTTTTATTTATTCTTAGAGAGAGGGGAAGGAAGGGAGGGAGAAAGAGGGAGAGAAACAATGATCAGTTGCTGGACCGGCCTGCAACCCAGGCATATGACCTGATGGAAAATAGAACCAGTTACCTTCGTTTTGCAGGACCACAGTGCCCAACCAACTGAGCTACACTAGTCAGGGCTCACTGGGAACTGTTTAAAACAACCACTTCACCCTTGACCTACCTGTTATTAAGAACCCCTGCTAAATTCACCACTATTCCCATTACGCAGGTGAAACCAGCCCAGAAAGGATAAAGGGTTTGCCCTCACGGCAGAGGACACAAGTGTTGATGGACGTTGATGGTATTTCTCTCCCATAAGTATGAAGGTAATCCTTCTGATCCATCATCAGCTACCAGGTGGGGCTCCCACCTTTCAGAATCTCACCAATAAAGCATTGGACCTCCCATTAGTTTCCTATTGCCTCAAATGACCACAAATTTAGTGGCTGAAAACACAGCTTTGTAACCATCTTATAGTTCTTGAGTTCAGAAGTCTGATTAGGTCTCACTGGGTTAAAATCAAGGTGTGGGCAGGGCTGTTGCTTCCTGGGGACTCTAGGAGAGACCATCTATTTTTAATATTTTTCATCTTCTGGAGGCCTCCAGCACTCCTTGGCTCAGGGCCCCCTCCACAGCCAGCAGCATCGCATGTCTCTGACCCTGCTAACATCAGCATATCTTTCTCTGACTCTCTTCTTCTGCCTCCCTCTCCTGCTATTTAGGATCCCTTTGATTGGATCCATGTGGATAATCCAAGCTAATCTCCTACTTTAGTAACCTTAATTCCATCTGAAAACTTAATTCCTCTTTGCTACGAAAGGTAACATTCCCAGGTTCAGGGATTGGGACCTGGACATTTTAGGGGGGCTGCTATTCTGCCTCCCAAAGATCTGATGGTGTCTCAGAGGCTCCTGCCAGTTCTTAATATTGTGTGAGCCGTCTTTAACTCCTGGGTCTCCTTTGTGCAGACCAGTGTCACGGCCACTGGTTGAGGTAAGTGGAGGCTGAGGCCACAGCAATATAAAACCACCAGGTTACAGAGTTATGGGGAGCGTGTAAACGGAGTGGAGTAAGGTAGCTGTTAAGCTGTTTGATCTTTTTAATTTGTTTCTGCTTCACTTTTTTTATCCTCACCTGAGGACATGCTAATTGATTTTAGAGAAAGGGGTAGGGAGGGAGGGAGAGAGGGAGAGAAACATCAATGTGTGAGAGAAACATCAACTGGTTGCCTCTTGCACACCCCAACTGGGGACCTGGCTGGCAAGCCGGGCATGTGCCCTGACCCAGAATTGAACTAGTGACCTTTTGTTTTGCAGGCCGATGCTCAATCCACTGAGCCACACCAACCAGAGCCTATCTTTTTTTTAAAAAGAGTTTTGTAGCTAGCTCTTACAGTTAAGTCTATGATCTATTTAAAGTTAATTTTTGTATGTGGTGTGAGGAGGGAGCGCATCTTCATTCTTTTGTATTAGACATCTAGTTGTTCCAACATTCAACATTTGTTGAAAAATCTATCCTTTCCCCCTCATCAAGGGTCGGACTTAGTCTTTACCTCCTGAAGGGGAAAGTGTTTACTTTTTGGAATTATTCGTGAAGATGACTGGTCCCTTCTCCCCATGTATTTATTTATTCATTCAATTATTCATATCAGTATGGACTTATGGAAATGTATTTTATTCTTTGGGCTATACCCTGAGGACTTCCTCTGAGGTTCTGGGATGAAGTTGTCTCGGTAACTGGCGTTTCTCAGTTTAAGCCTCAGCTGTTCAGGGTGGAGCAGCTGGGGAACGTTGGCTCTGGCCCAGCCAGACTGGGTTCAAGTTTTGGCTCCCACTATGTCTGCTGTCCTGGGCCGCTTATTTAAGTCCCTGGGCCTCTCAGCCCTCCAGGGGCAGAGCAAGGATGATGGTGACACTTGGAAGGAAGGTTGTTGGCTTATGTGTGGCATTGGAGGTGTGGACTAACGTCATGGGGGTTTTGTTCCCAGCTCAGACCCCAGCCTGAGGACCCACGACATGGCTGTGGGCGGGTCACTTTAACATTGAACAGGAACAGGAACGCCAGGAGGGCAGAGTGTGTCCTCCCTTTCTCGCTCATTTTATTTATTTTGAATTCTGATTGTTTATATTAACCTTTACTTTTAAATGTTAAGTATTTTCCAATTGTAAAAGTAGTTCATGAACATTACAATTTGGGGAACATAATGGAAAATTAGAAAAAAAATAGAAAACTAGCAAAAAATGAAATCCCTCATTCCCACCACTAACATTTTGATAAATTACTTTTTAGTTGGCTTTAGTGCATTTTTATATAATTCTTTGCAAACACACTAGAAAGCACCTGCTTTTTTTTTTTTTTTTAAATATTTTATTATTTATTTATCTTTAGAGGGGAAGGGGGGAAGGAGAGAGGGAGAGAAACATCAATGTATGGTTGCCTTTTGTGCGTCCCCTGCTGGGAACTGGCCTGCAGGGAACTGGCCTGCAACCCAGGCATGTGCCCTGACTGGGAATCGAACCTCGATCATGTGGTTCGCAGGCCCGCGCTCAATCCACTGAGCACCTGCTTTTTAAGTTAAGAACGAGTCAAATAAAATTAGTAAATACATGACAAATATGACTGGAATGGAGAATAAATAAAAGGAAAGACAAGTGGGTTGAGAGAAAAAGACACAAGACAAGGACCAAAGTTCTTGGTCTTCATTTTTTTGGAAAAATTCAGTTGTTTAGCCTAGAAAAGATCATCTTTGCTAAATGTGGTCATTGGACTTTTCTTTCTAACGCTGCTTTTTTTGTAAATCAGATATAAACATTTTAAAGCCTTATATCCTTTTCCTTTTTCACCTCTAGTGTCCTTTCTTTTTTAAAAAATTATTATTTATTTATTTATTTTTAGAAAGGGGAAGGGAGGGAGAAAGAGAGGGAGAGAAACACCAATGCGTGGTTGCCTCTTGAGCGCCCCCTGCTGGGGACCCTGCCCACAACTCAGGCATGTGCCCTGACTGGGAATCGAACAGGTGACCCTTTAGGCCGTAGACCAGAAGTCAGTCCACTGAGCCACACTAGCCAGGGCTCTTTTTTTAAAATCTTGGTAAAATGGTTCATTTTAAGGAGCAACATCTCTATGTTTTGGCCTTCTAGAATACCGTTGCTAAAGGTTTAAATTGAATTTTCCACAATACAAGAGTGAATTACATTGTGCTCTGGCACTTGATAAGAGTCTTTACATCTGGTCTCTAAACTGGTGGTTTCCACCTAACAAATGGAAAGAAAACAGGAAATATTATTTGAAAGCTTTGCTTGTAGCTATGAAAACGGTATGTAGAAAACAATGCAGAAATGAAAGCAGTTTGTGATAGGATGGTAGGATTATGCAGATTTACTGTTATTGTTTAATGTATCCGTATAACTTTTTCAATTAAATATTTCAAAATTTTAAAATAAGCTCAATATAATCTATCTCATTGCTTTCCTTGGGTTAGAAAACTAAATCCAGATAAACTATGTGGTGTCTCAGCAGAGTAGAAGACCTGTTTATTGTACAGGAATATGTTTTCAAACTGGTAGCTCTTGGATGGTGGCTTCTATGAGCATTTATTTTATTATTTTTTAATTTGAATGATGATCTAAAGGGAAAAAAATCCAAACAAGCCTATTTTGGCTCCTCAGGATGACAAGCAGAGCTTTTGGGAAGGTGGAGGCAGCTGTGCTAAGATCTGGCTGGCCTGAGGGCTCCTCACTGAGCAAACAGCGCCTAGTCTCATGTGCAGGCCCTGTGTGTGCCTCCCTTCTGGGAGCACGCTCTTGGTTTGAATGTGCATGGAAGGTTGGGATCAAGATACAGGGATATCACAAGCTATGATTTTTTTTTTAAGATTTCATTTATTTCTAGAAAAGGGGAAGGGAGGAAGAAAGGAGGAGAAACATCAATGTGTGGTTGCCTCTCATGTGCCCAGATCAGTTCTCATGCACTGGAACCCAAGCATGTGCCCTGATTGGGAATCGAATTGGGGACCCTTTCATTTGCAGGCCAGTACTCAATCTATTGAGCTACATAAGTCAAGGCGCTATTATTTACTGGGCACTTACCATGCTCTATGCCCTTTTGTGCTGACTTGTGCCTGCCCCAAATTCATATGCTGAAGTTCTAATCTTCAGGACCTCAGAATGTGACTATATTGGAGATAGAGCCTTTCAAGAGGAAATTAAGGTTAAAATGTGTCATATTAGCTTGGCCTTGATCCAATATGAACAGGGTCCTTATAAGAAGATATTAGACTTTGAAGCTTCCATCCAAGATGGAGGCATAGGTAGATATGCCTTGCTTCCTCACACAACCAAAAGAAGGGTAACAGCAAAAACAACCAGACCTACCAGAAAATTGAACTGTATGGAAGTCCTACAACCAAGGTGTTAAAAAAGAAACATTCATCCAGACTGGTAGGAGGGGTGGAGATGGGCAGCCACGTAGAAGAGGATGCATGGCAAGGCAATGGCTGGTGGACTGGGTGGTCCCACATTTGCATGCAGATAAACTGGGAGAAACAACTAGGAAGTGAGACAGACGATGCAACTCAGGGTTCCAGTTCCGGGAAAGAAAGCTTCAAACACCTCTGGCTGTAAAACCTGTGAGGGTTGCAGCAGTAGGGGAAACTGCCAGTCTCACATGAGAGTCCTTTGGTGGGGCCCAGAGGGTCCTAAACATACACAGCCCACCCACTCGGGAATCAGTACCTGAAGGGCATAATGCCCTTGTGAGTAGTAAAGGAAGTCACTGACAGTGGGGCAAGAGCTGAGCAAGCAGCATTGTCCCCTCTCCGACCACTCCCCCCACATACAGCACCACAACACACAGACGTGGGTTGTCCCACCCCCAGCAAATACATAAGGCTCCACCCCTTACAACATAACCGGTGCACCTAGACAAAGAAATATGGCTCAAATGAAAGAACAGATCAAAACTCCAGAAAAACAACGAAGCAACGAAGAGATAGCCAACTTATCAGATGCAGAGTTCAAAACACTGGCAACCAGGATTCTCTCAGAAGTTACTGAGTATGGATGCAAAATAAAAAAAGAAATGAAGGCTATGGAAAGTGAGATAAAGAAAAATATACAGGGAACCAAGAGTGAAGGGAAAGGAAGAGATCAATGATTTGGACCAGAAGGAAGAAATAAACATTCAACCAGAACAGAATGAAGAAACAAGAATTCAAAAAAATGAGGAGAGGCTTAAGAACCTCCCAGATAACTTTAAATGTTCCAACATCTGAATCGTAGGAGTGCCAGGAGGAGGAGGAGAAAGAGGAGGAGGAGCAGAAGAAGAAGAAAAGCAAGAAATTGAAAGCTTATTTAAAAAAATAGTAAAGGAAAATTTCCCCAATCTGGCAAAGAAAATAGACTTCCAGGAAGCTCAGAGTCCCAGAGAAGTTGGACCCAAAGAAGCACACAACAAGGCAAATCATAATTATATTACCCAAGATTAAAGACAAAGAGACAATCTTAAAAGCAGCAAGAGGGAAGGAAAGAGTTACCTACAAAAGAGTTCCCATAAGACTATCAGCTGACTTCTCAAAAGAAACCTTGCAGGCAAGAAGGGGCTGGAAGGAAGTATTCAAAGTCATGAAAGGCAAGGACCTACATCCAAGATTCCTCTATTCAGCAAAGCTATCATTTAGAACCAAAGGGCAGATAAAGTGCTTCCCAGATAAGGTCAAGTTAAAGGAGTTCATCATCACCAAGACCTTAGTATATGAAACGTTAAAGGGACTTATTTAAGAAAAAGAAGAAAATCAAAACTAAGAACAGTAAAATGACAACAAACTCATAACTATCAAAAACTGAACCTAACAAAAACAAACTAAGCAAACAACTAGAACAGGAACAGAACCACAGAAATGGAGATCACATGGAGGATTAGTAGCAGGGAGGGGAAGGGAGGAGAATGGGGGAAAAGATACAGGGAATAAGAAGTGTAATTAGTAGCCACAAAATCAAGGGGAAGTTAAGAATAGTATAGGAAATGAAGAAGACAAAGAACTTATATGTACAACCCATGGACATGAACTAAGGGGAAGAATGCTGTAGGGAGGGGGGTAGATGGAGGAAGGGGAGAAAGGGGAGAAAAAAATATGACAATTGTAATAGCACAATCAATAAAATATACTTTAAAAAGGTATTACAGTATATACACACACAGGGAATACTCTGAGGATGCAGGAATAAGAAAACAGTGGGAACCACAAAGCCAGTTGAAGAAACAGGTCCAGCAGTACAAGTAGGCATCTGCAGGCCTTGACGCTGCCTCTGTCCACAACAGGACAGGCAAGATGTAGCTGCATGCTGCAGCGTTGTTTCTGGGCTAACACTGTAAACTGGGAAGATGTGCCATCCACCCACACCACCTAGTTACCCCAAAAGAAGGCCGATGTCCCCACACTGTTACTCTGGGGCTGTGGGCTTCAGACCAGCATTGTCTGGTAATCTATCCTTTCTTCTTCTCCAGGCTAGAAGCCAGGGAGCCCTCAGTGACCACATGTTCTCTGGACCACTCCATACCCTGTCTCCACCTATCCAAGCAGCACCAGCTGAAGCACAAGGTCCCTGCATTCATGGCGCCCTGGCACCTCCTGAGCTCTGGGTGGCCCCAGGCCTCCTGCCTGGGGTTGGGGCAGGATCTAGTTGTGAGTCCAGGGAGTCCCACCTCCCAGGGCCAGGAACTCTGGTCTGCAGAGTGTCAGGGTGAAGAGGTTCTGGGAATTCTGGGACGGCCCCACTGTCTGCCTAGAATGCCTGGTGCTCAGGAACACCAGGGACTGTTACCCTGGACAAGGTACAGCAGGTGTCGTGTGGGGTTGGGCTCTGGATCTTCCTCAACTAGACTCCCAGCTCTGCTGCTTCATGGCTGTGTTAGCTGCCCTGGCCTGGCTCAGTGTCCTCATCTGCAAACTGGGTCAGTGACAATGGTAAACTTTTATAACACAAAGTGGGCTGAAAGGTTCAGTGGAAAAACCTGTGAAACACTCGGCCCCATCCTCTAGTCACTCAGATATCAGTATCTTAATCCCCCCAGCAGTGCCACCCTCCCCGCCCCACCAAGAGCCCTGTGCTTGGCACATGCTACACAGGGGAAAGTGGCGTTTGGATGGGGAGGTGACATACTCACTGCGGCCCAGAGAGGAACTGGCCAAGCAGAAGCAGCCGCCCAGGCTTCTCCAGCTGTGTCCAGGTCCTTGCCCATCCTGGTGCCCCATCTGCCCAGTCTGCACCCGGGGTCTGTTCTCCTGAGCCCCAGGCTTCACTGATGGGGGTTGTATCCTCTCTTAGGACAGAGTCCCTGGACTGCCAGCTCCCTTGCCAGGGAGGAGGAGTAGAAGTCCATCCACTGGGGCCTGAGTGCAGCCTGGGGGACAGGCTGTTGGTCCCAAGATGCCTCTGCCTGAGCCCAGCGAGCAGGAGAGTGAGCGTGTGAAGGCCGGTCAGGAGCTGTCCCCTGAGCCTTCTGGGACCGGCACTGATGTTATTCCTACAGCCCCCAAGAAGCCCAGGAAGTTCTCCAAACTGGTCCTGCTGACAGCCTCCAAAGACAGTGCCAAAGTGGCCGCAGCCAAGCGCAAAGGAGTGCACTGCATCATGTCTCTGGGGGTGCCTGGCCCCACCACCCTCGCCAAGGCCCTCCTTAGGATCCATCCTGAGGCCCAACGTGCCATTGAGGCAGCCCCCCAGGAACCTGAACAGAAATGCAGGAAGCTGGACACAGGTGAGGCCCTGGTCCCAGAAAGCAAAACTATGAGCAAGACCTCCCTGAGGCCGGAAGTCCCCTGATACCTGGGCAACTGAGGTGATAGACAGGCTGGGTCGGCTCTGGAAAGAGTGTGCCTGTCCTGTGAATGTGTCTGTGTATGTCCTGCTTTCTGTGATACATCTCGGTGTAAATCTCTGTGTGTTTGTAGCCTCCGTGTATGTGTGTCTAGGGTTCTGTGTCTACATATGTATTTGCTAGGGAAGGTGTGTCCATGTGTACATCATGGTGTGTCCTTGTCTCTGAGCCTATTTCTCTCCGTGTCTGCTAGTATGTGTGTATTTATGTGTCTGGAGGTCTGTGTGTGCATGTTTCTGTGCAGAGTGTATTTGGGGCCCCATAGCCCCGTCCACTAGGCTTGGTGCAGATGAGAATGGAGCGTAGAATCCTGAGGGATGCCTGGGGGAGGGGGATGCCTAGTGGTTGGGAAGGAGATGAGCCAGGGTTTCTTTTCAACTGGAAGTGGAGTCTGCCATGCCCTAAGAAGATCGAGAAAATAAAAGGTACAGCAGTTCGCTGTGTTTGCTGCCTATGAACAGGCGGCCGCCTTGGAGTCAGGGCACTCGGACTGGCAGCTAGTCTTGGGAAAGGAAAACCGAAGCCTCTTGGTTTCCATCATGTAACTGGGCAGTGCAAATTGACCCCTCCTTATTGATGGAAATTTACTGGGGAGTGCTCTCAAGTCTGGGGGGAGCCCTGCTGTTTCCCCAAGGCTAAGACTTCAGGGGTCCTGAGATTGGGGCACCCTAGCTATAAGGCTTGGAGCTCACAGGGGACCCAAGGAGCCCCTCACCCTCTGTCCCTTGCTGGAAAGGAGCTGCAATCAGGAAGTCGGGGACCTCACTTCCCCAGAACATGGAGGCCCCGCTGCAGCGTCCCCAGCTCACCTTGGGAGCACTTCTACCAACCAGTTCTGGTTCAGGTGTCTCCATGTGTCTACCTGCTTCCTGCCAGCCCCTGGGGTGAAGGTTGCCGCCCCATGACCTGTTGGGCAGCGAGGCTCAGACAGGCCAAGTTACTACCTCGAGGCCACCCGCTGATTGTGAAGGTGAAAGGGGAACATCTGGCTCAGAGCTCCTGCTTCCTGCTTAACCCAGTGGGTTGGGGAGTCTGCAGGGTCCTTTCCACCCTGTCTGTGACCTCTGCTTAGGCATCTGCCCAGGTTCTGGGCCTACATGGGCCCCACTCCACTCACGCTACTGTGAGAATTAAAACAAAGCCTTCCTCAGATGGAGAACAGAACAAAAACTGCCTCTCAGCCACACGGTCTCCTGGAAGCAGGCACTCCAGCAGTCAACAACTCCCTCAACCTGCCGCCCCATCTTTACCCCTGTACCTAATCCACACCTTCTCCATCTCTTGCTCCACCCCAGGCCAGGAAGTGGAGCTAGCAGCAAGTTCCTTGTGCTCAGCCCATATTTGGTCCAGAGTTTCCTGGAAATGATGTTAGTAGCCTCAGTGGCCTTTGGGAGCATAGCTCTTGAGTGGCAGTTACTTCTCTACATCAGTCGGTGGAACCCCCCCACCCCTCCCTTTTCCTCTCACACCAGCCTGACCCACCCCCTTCTCTTCCAGAAGGAAAAGAAGATGGAAGGTTGGCAGGGAGGCCTGCCCTCAGTCCTGCAGTGGGCGGGGAGGAGTCCTCTGTGGGGCCCAGCAAGGCCTTGTAACCCTGACAACTGCAGGCGAAGCGTCCTTGATGAGTCAGTGAACTTGGCTGTGACTTCTGCCTGCGGCCCTGTCCCTGGCTGATTTTCACTCTTATCGTCATGTAATGTTTTTCAGCTCAAGCACAATTTACTTTTGTAAGCAGGAAAAAAATATCAAAACAGAATGAAATAAGCTACATGCTAGATCCCATCATGAACAGATTGTATAAACTTCAGGATTCTGGGTCCTTTGAGGCCCAACTCCAACCACACCCCACCCCCCAGAACCCTGCCCACCTTACCAGCCCTCACAGGGCCCTTCCTTGGGACCGCCTGGTCTGGGCTGTCTCTCAGACCTGGGGCGGCTCTCAGGGGCCTCCATCCCTTGCAGCCTCATACGCCTGGGCACCTTCAGTCTGGAAAAACAGCCGCTGGCCCAGAGACTAGGTGGGGTCCCTGAGGTTCCCCTTCCTTCTGCCTTGGTCTGAAAGTGGGCAGTGGGATCTCTAGCCCTGACCCTCTAGGAAGCTGGTCCAGCCCCTCCCTGACTCTCCTTCCATGGTTGTTCCCTTGCTGGAGTGTCAGTCTGTCCCTGTGGGACTCTCAGGAGCCTCACCTACTCCAGGTAGCCATACAGGACTGGCAGCCCACTGCACAGGGTCCCTGCAACCATGGCAGCCCAGGGTTCTATTGAGGAGGGGTGGGCCTGCAGTGTGGGGGTAGGGACCGTGACGAGCGTGTGGTACTCCCATCATGCTCCTTCCAGGTGGTTTTGCGGGCTGAGGGAGCCAACCAGGACCCTGAGCCCCTCCCCAGACCCTGGGTGCCGCCTGTGCTGGAGGAGGGGCGGAAACACACATCTGCCTTCAGCCGGAAGTCGGGATGCCCCAGAGGCTCCCATGGGGAAGGTTTCCGCCGCAGCTGCTTCACTGCATGTGGTCTCATCCTTTAAAAACTGCCACTGGGCACAAGGAAATGGCTTATTTTTTAAATGTAGAGTTGAGAGGCCTCATGTAATCAGTAATCAGTATCTATTGACTCCCTCTCGGGAGAGGGAGACACTTAGCACAGTTTCCTTGCCAGCTCTTCATTTTGCTATTTTATTTTTACAGCATGTTTGTTTATAATATTTATATTCTGTAACCATAATTCAAAATGTTCTTTTGTCTTAATTCTATATTTAAATAGATTCCTCTTACCCTCCGACTCCTCCTTTCCTCTGTTCTGAGTCATGCTTTCAGTGAGCTGGTTTTGTCTGATGGTAAGAATGCAGGGGGAGCTGCCCAGGGTCTAATGTGTGCTGGTGGAGTGCCGCCAGAGAAGCAGCAGTGGAGAAGAGGATGTGAGGAGAGGGGGCAAGCAAGGCACGGCTTCAGCCACTCAGCCCGGTGTCCAGGCAGGCCCAGCCTCCGTGGGTCAGAGAGGATTAACCCTGGCCCGCCCACTCCCTGAACTTTAGTGTCACATTATTGACCCCTCTTGCTATTACCAGGGTAGCCACAAGCTGGGTTCTCCTGTCCCCAGTGAGGGGCCTGACTGACTTGGTGGCCACTGGAGGCTGCTTGAAGGCACAGCAAGGGCCCACCTCCCTCCTGAGTGGCAGGCGGTATCCATTGTCTGTCTGCAAGGTGTTTAGTACCATGAGGCAGGAAGCCACTGCTGAGCCCGCTGGGAGCACACTCTGGAGCCAGTGGTATCAAGATTTTCTTTATTTTGAGACATTTCAAACTTAAATAAAAGTTGAGGGAACAGTGCAGGTGACACGGTATAGCCCTCACCTAGATTCACCCTCACCTTTCCCCCTTTCCCTCTGCCTGTCGGTCTGAAGTGGGGTGCCTGGGATCTGGGGCACAGCTCTGGACTTCCAGGGCTAGACAGGAAACACGGAACTATCTGGCTGGTAAGTTCATGAAAGCTGAGGCTAAGGGCTGCCCAGGAGAAGGCCAGGTGTGCCACAGCATCTGACAGGGTCCTGACTTGGTGGGCTCAGGGAGGCCCTTAGAGGGAGCTGAAGGGTGAGGAAGGTGGGCCTGAGAGGGTTAAGTGTAGGGCCCAGCGGGAGCAGGGCAGGAAGACCAGGAGGCAGGCATGGTGGGCAGGTGCTGGTGGCTCAGGGCCTGGAGTCCACAGTGAGGGCTTCAGATTTATCATGGGTATTGGGAGGCAGGGGAAGGATTCATGTGCAGAGAAGGGACATGGTCAGCATCATTACACAAAACTCCCCCAAGCACCATGAGGAGTGACTGGTGGGGTCCAAAGTGGGAGCTGGAAAGCCATTGAAGAGGCCCCACAGCCTGGGTGAGAGGAGAGGGTGGGAAGGCAGGAGAGCGTGGAAGGAGGCTGAGCCAGGCTTAGTGACAGATGGTTTTGCTTGGGGGACTGGGCATGAGAGAGAGAGGACTGACCTGCCCAGCTGAGAGATGACAGTGCCACCCACCAGGAGGAGAAGGGGCAGGGGCAAGTGACCCATTCTGGTTCCACACAGTTGGCATTCTGCTGGATGCTTGCGTTGCTGTGAGGAGAGTGGTTCCCAGGAGCGTCTGACAGAGCAGAAAATTCTCAGAGGTCGGAGATGATGGCTGCCAGCTCCTGCTCTGTGTGTGGGAGGGCGGTGCATTAATTACAGTGGGGGTGAAAAGGGAACAGGATGGTCACACATTTTCGTTTTTAAGAGAGCTTTTATTTGTCTTCAAGCTAAAACAAAAGGTAACTCATAGTCATTGAAAAACAGGAAATAGATGATGAAAAATATTACAAATATATTTCGTAATCCACCATTTATAATCCATATGTTTCATATTCAGAAAATTGAGATGATATGGCTCATACTTTTTCTTAATGGATTACAAATGATTTTCTAACATCCTTTTACTAACTGCACAGCATACCACTACAGGGATGGGTAAGTTTATCCAACCAATTCTGACCGTGGGAGTATCCCAATTGTTTCTAGGTTGCTAACAATCTTTCAAAGCAGCGATTTGCAACCTTTTCTATCTCATGGCACACAAAAACTAATTACTAAAACTCTACAGCACACCCAAAATTATAGGTTTTTCTGCCAGTCTTACAAAAAAAAAGGTAGAGTTTTGATTCATTCACACTGCGTGGACGTTGTGTTGCCGTGGTGATTTATCTGACAATCTAAGGGAACAGAGGCCAGTGCCCCTCAATAGTCAGGTACTGCATGTTTTAAAAATTCCTGTGGCATGCGGGTTGAAAACCGCTGTCTTAAACAGCCTTGCGCTTTCCTAGGACAAAGCTCTTGAAGTGAGGTTGCCAATGAATACCGAACTCTCTGACGTTCTTGCAAGCACCTGGTTCTATCATTAAAAAGAAAAAAAAAAAAATAGCGCCCTCCACTTCCCTATTGTACGCGCAGATTTTGCGTGTTTTCTCCTGGGGGTTGCATTTCCTTTGGTTGCTTTCGAGAGCTGGTCAGGGGACATTTGAGATTGATGCTCTAGGCATCGCCCGCCCCCCCGCCACGCCCGCCCGCAACGTAGGGGGCGCAGGCTGACTCAGCGGCGATCCAGGCGCCTCCCCTGTACCCGGTCTGTGAGGGCCGCCGGGAGAGCCGTTTTTCGGCAATTTATCCTACTCTACGGACCCAAGACCTTGACCCAGACACGTCAAGGATCCGGCACCGGCTCTAAAGTGCCTTCTGCAGGGGCAGAGGGTGGGCGATTGACGCGCAGACAGGCCGCTACCAGGAGAATGCGACTGCGATCTTCCCACCCTAAAGTCTAACACAGGTTGCAGCCAACCCACTTCCCTGTTTTATTTCTCCATAGCAGGTACTTCTTTTTCTTTTAATTAAAATTTTACTTTTCAACTACAGTTTACATTCAATGAGCCCGTACTACTTCTAACAGACCATCAACTCAGTATTTGTATCTCTTGCTTCCTGCCCATCCCTAGTAACACAAGCTCCACATCACTGGCGCAGTGAGCTTTGTTGATTTTGGTCCCTGAGGTGGCAGGTGTGGAGAACTGCAAGGTGGGCAGACCTAGAGGTGCGGAGTCCGAAGCGGTACAGGACTGTGAGTAAAGGTGGAGAGCAGAGATTTGGAGCTTGGAGAAGCCTAGGTGCGAGAAAGACGTGGAGGATGCGGGGAACAGGGCAGAGCACTGAAAATGTCGAGGGTGGGAAAGGGTGCGGAAGAACGCGGGGAAGAAACAGACTCGGGGATAGAACTCGCGGACGAGGCAGAGAATAAGGAAACCGGGAGCGGGCGGGAGGCCCAGCGGTAGGGCCCTGCGGGATGTGGACATCCACTGCCTGGAGCCAGGGGACGCTACGAGCAGCTGCTTTAGAGCGACGAGGCGGCGGAGGAGGGGAGGGTGGTCTGAACAGCGCAGAGTTCCCTAGAGAGGAATAGCGTCTTTACCCCGCAAACTCCGAGGCCGAGGACGCGCAGCTAGAAGACTGCGGGCTCTGCCTGGCGAAAGAGAGCGAATGGAGGAAGGGGTCCCACGGGGCTGGGGAGGGCCGCGGTGAACGAAGTCCCGGGGCCCGAGCGGGAGGAGAGGCAAGGCGTCCGGGCGACATGCAGGCGCTTCGCGTCTGAGGCCCCCCCATGCTGCCACCAGCCAAGTGTCCAGGAAAGCAGTACTGAGGCCCCTCAGCTTCCCGCGCCAGGTCAGTTCTGGTGCCCACAAAGGTGAACACAAGGTGGGCAGAGAATGACAAGTGTCCAGTGGCTGTGCGAAGGACGACCACTGCACCGATGGACGAGGTCCAGACCAAGGGGCCAAGGCTGGACCGGACCCATGGGCGAGGGAGGGACCCATGTGAAATAGATGCTTTCCTTTCCGGAATATTTTTGTTTGTTTGACGTTTTACTTTGACATAATTTCACACCTACAGAAAAATTTCAAGAAGTGTTCAATGCATTCCCATGTATTCTTCACCCCCAAATGTTAGGAATGATGCCAGCCACAGCAGCAATATTGATAATAGTTAGATTTAGAAATTTCCAAAAGAAAAATAAATTATGTAGGCAACCATATGTAAAATTAGCTTACATATTTTTACTATAAGAAATAACTTTCCCTTCTTCCCCATTTACTTATTTACATCATGCCAACTCATGGATTCTAATTTTATTCAAGGTTATAGACCATTATCACTTATTTTGAATCTCAAATTGGCCCAGGTTGGGGCGGGGTCATTTGAAGGTTTCAATGAGTTGCAAAAGAAATTGCCTTCTGCGCCCGGGTTCCCAATTAAGATCCCCATTCACTAGTGTGGGAGCAACAGTTCAAGAGCCCTGGACAAGACGCAGGTACTGAGGCTCCGCCCAGGAAGCTGCCATCCTATCCTGGGCTTTCTCCACCTCTTTTGCGAGCTCTAGCCCCACCTCCTAGCGCCGATTGGTTGAGCTGCCAGCTCCGCACCGCGCAGCAAAGACCCGGAGAAGCGGATTTCGTTCCTCCAAATGGGCTCTGCTGCGTAAGAAAATCGGTAGCTCGCTTAGGCGTTCCCAGAGGCCGGTTCCCTAGAGGGGTGGCGCGCGCTCCCGGCCACTTGTGCGACGGCGCGCGCGGGCGCGGGGCTCGCTCCGGAGTGTCATGTGGGGGCGGGGATCCGAAGCTCTGGTTGCGGTGGCCTGAGGGGCCTGGGCCGCAAGGTCGACGCCTGTGGCTGCAGTGGCCGAGGCCAAAGGACCTGCCGCAGCTCGGTCGCCGGGGAGGGAGGGCCCCGATGCCGTCGCCTTCTGGCCGGTGCCCGGTGAGGACGGGTCCCAGCGGGTCGGGGAGGGTTCCAGTTACCATGATATGGACGCGACTCTCCTGGCGGTTCCAACGGTTGCTGATGCTGGGAGTAGGGGGGTTCCCAGGCTCTGGGTTGTGGCACTGAGGCCGCCTCCTTGTCCTTCACTCGAGATTCGCCGCCTTTCTCCTCAGCCCTCCTTCCCGCACCCACCCCACCCTGGGACTGAGCCCTGGCACCCAAAATGAGGGAGCCCCACATTCGCCCGTCTTCCCCGGCGGTGACCACTCCACCACATACTGCCTCCACCCTGGCACCCATCTTTGCGGCTCTGGAGGTACCGGTGACCTTGCACTTTTTGCTGTTCTTACATTCCTCATTCCACTTCTGACTATGTAGATTGTCCCCTATGGCTTTCAAACTTTTTTTCAACTTACACTGAGAAATATATTTCACGTGCAAACCCCCTGTGTCTGTACATACAGATTAATGAAAGATAACTTTAAAGGGAGATATTACCCTAACTTCACATTCATATTCTATTCTAGTCTAGCTTAACCTAGCATATTCTATTCTATTCTATTCTATTCTATTCTATTCTATTCTATTCTATTCTATTCTATTCTTTCCATTTCAAAAGACTGTTGCTAAACCATGAAATTGATTTCGGGACCTAATATGTGTGACCTTAGTTTCAAACGCTTGCTCTAACCATCAGTTTTTCACTTCCTTTACTCCTTGCCTTTGGTGGGTGCTGAGCTGCGTAATCAAAGAATAATGTGTAACCTTCAGAAGGGTATATTTTTATTATTTTGACATTTCTGTGTTTCAAGGCCAAGGCCATTTCCAGGACTTGATTTGAATTTTCGGGTTTGATTGAGTCAGGTTTCTCGTGCTTCTCTTCCAAAATCCCATAGTCAGACTGGAGGAAGAGGAACTGTGAGGCCCAAGCTAGATTGTGGAGGGGTGTGTGTGTGTGTGTGTGTGTGTGTGTGTGTGTGTGTGTGTGTTTATGTTTATGTTTATGTGTGTGCGTAGCTTTTATAACAGAGATGGAGATGATTTTTATTGGAGAGAGAAATGATTAAAGTTGAATTTTAGGAAGATTAACCTGTCAGCACTGCACTTGCGTAGGAAGAATTGGAAAGACCGAGCTAGTGGGGAAGGCCATTAAGGACAAGGTGGGGATCGTTGAAGTGCTGAGGTGATGTGCAGTGGAAGGCATGGAAGATGGCCAGATCGGTTGTAAAGAGAATGAGATTTGAGGACACATTAGGCCTGGTGAGGGAGAAGTTAAAAATAGCTAAGATTCTGATGGGGGATTTGGGGGTTAGGGGAGGGGAGTACCCTTGGCTGCAATTTCTCTTTCTATAATGCATCTCAGGGGACATTCACAATGTTGGTTGTCAGGACTTTGGGGGTGCTTCTAGCACCTAGCAGGTAGAGACTGTGAGTGCTGCTCAACGTCCTTCATTGCACAGGACATCCACCACGACAAAGAATTATCTGGCGCAAAGTGCCAGTGGTACTGAGTTTAAGAAGGCCTGCTTTAGAATAGCAGCTCTAAATCTCGATCACTGCCACTTTCAAGCTCCCCCAAGAATAATGCCTGTGTACACACGCAGACTGGTGCATATATAGAAGGGTCCACAGACTGGCCAGTGTGCATCTTTAACCCGCATAGCTCCTTAGTGACGGACGGTGGGGGGACAGGAATTGGACTCATCCAGGAGCTTAAATTTTTTTTTAAATTTCTTTTCTTTTTTATGTATTGATTTTAGAAAGGGAGGAAATGAGAGAGAAAAAAAACATCAGTTTGTTGTTCCACTTACTTATGCATTCATTCGTTGACCTGGGATTAAACCCACCATCTTGGTGTATTGGGAGGGTGCTCTAACCAACTGAGCTGCCTGGCTGGGGCTCATCCTGGAGCTTTTTGGAACATCATGACCTTCTCTCCTCCCCTCATTCTTCAGGCCCACTATTTGGGCCTGGACAAAGAATTCCCTGTTCTTGTGTGGTGATGTACAATTCATAGAAGAATTTCACATACAATATCTCATTTGCCACTTTTCCTGTTTCACAGGTGAAACCAGCTCAGAGAAGTGATGGGATTTGCCCCAGGTCTCCCACCTAGAAAGCCAGAGCTAAGGACCTAGGTCTTGGCACCTGACGATGGGGGTTGTCCCTCTCTTGTGTGAAGGTAATTCTGTTGATCCACCGTCAGTTGCTGAGCCAGGCTCTGCCTTCCAAGGTCTTACTGATTAGGGCTTGGACCCAGGGGTGTCACCTGTATGTTGGGTTTACACTGATCCCTTTGTCACCACCAGAGGACAGCATTATCAGAGCAGGCTATCTGAATACTTCCCTCAGATTGCTCTGTACCATGGTTTTGGGGGAGGGGAGAGAGGGTTGAGAGAGTGACCAACCAAAACTGTGAAGCTCTTGAACTTTCCATTTACATCTACCTGACTTAAAAGCACTCCAGATGCTCAAGAAATCTGTAAAAATTAAGTAAAAATTAAATGCTAAGAAATAAGCACATTAGGGCCCAAGAATTTACCTCAAAACAATGACCATCCAAAGTAAAAAAATTTTAATCCACCTAGAATAAATATATGTATAACAAGAACAGTTTCATATGATAATACTCACTTTTATTACATGCAATGAAGATTGGTATAGCCGAAGTAATTTTTTAAATTGTGACTGGAACCCAAAGGTGATAGAACCAATGACCAGGACAATTTGAAAAGCAGAGCCTTAGACCAAAACAAAGGAAGTAAAACTCATGATTTCATACAGATATAAAATGAACGTGTGTGAAAGCTTTTACTCATTCATGAACCAAAAAACCAGTAAGATCTTACTATCAGTTGGCAAGAGAACCCAAGGAAGATTTTAGAAGACTAGATCAAGAATTTAGAAATGAATGTACAGATGGAAGCAAAACTGGTTTCTTCCCTGGTGGGAAGAATCATCTGTATGTCTATCTTTATTTACATGGATAGAGAGAATTTATTGTCTTTAGACTAAGTTATTTTGCATTGTTATCAGTTCTTCTCTTTCTCTATAATGTAGAGTTTTAAAAATAGCTCAAAGCTATGGAAAGGCTAGATTCATATAACCTGGAAGGGTATGTTCTAGACAATGTGTAGTTTTCCATTGAAGAACAGATTTTCCCTACAGTCTCATAATCTAAATGAAAAGTATTTTATATCATGAAATAAGGCTGGTCTTGTTAGTTTTGGCCTGATTATTTGCCTAGGTGCAACAATTGTGTTCATTCACCTTATAGGCTTTCTTGAGTTTGTTTTGCTGGAAGTCTTCGTAAGGAATCTCAGATTGAATTTTTAAAAGTCTGGTGTTTGTTCTCCTGAGGCATAGAAGCCATGCCCAGGAAGCTCTCTCCACCATATTTTACCTGCACTACTTATAAATTTGCTCAAGTTCCTCTCTTCTTGCTGTGCCCACAACGCTCCAAAGTATCTGAAACTTGTTAAATTGTTAAAAGATCATTTTTAAAAAGATGAAATCATGACTCTCCCATTGCTATAAAATAAACAGATGTTAATGATTTTATTTAACACATTAATGAGGGAACCTGTACAGTGTGACAAATTTAAATGATATAATATATGTAAAACATTTTGTGTAGTTCCTGGCACAAAGAAAACCTCAGATACTTCTTAAGTTGGTCACTTAGCTGCAGACCACCTATTTCTCAAGGGCATTTATTCCACTGTGTCTCAAAGCACAGTTCATGGCTCACTAGTACCAAAGCCTCATGGGGTACTTGTTAAAAACCCAGATTCTTGAATCCCTCTCCAGAATTTTAGGGGTGAAATTCAGGTACCTGCATTTTTATCAGGTACCCTGGGTAATTCTTATGGAGATCAGAATCAAACATACAAATACTTAAAATAAAAACTTAATGAAAACTATACTTAACTTCATTATATGGATGTTCTCTCTATATTCTATTTCATTTTTTAAATTTTTTATTCATAGTTTTTGCAAATTAGATTAAAATTTTTTTTTAGATTTTATTTATTTTTTAAAAGGGGAAGGGAAGGGAAAAGAGAGGGAGAAAAACATCAGTGTGTGCTTGCCTCTTGTGTGCCCCCTACTGGGGACCTGGGCCGCCACCCAGGCATGTACCCTGACTGAGAATCAAACCAGCAACATTTGGATTTGCAGGCTGGCACTCAATCCACTGAGCTACACCAGCCAGGGCCTATTCATTTTTTAACCACTGGTCTTAGGCAGGGTTCCTCAACCTTGGTACTATTGACATTTTAGACCAGATTCTTCTTGGAAGTACGTGGGGTGAGAGGCTGCCCTGGGTACTGTGGGATAAGCAGAAGTAACCTTCCTGGCCCTTACCCACTAGTAGGGCAGTGGTGTGCCCTGCCCCCCCAGTTGTTACAACCAAGGATGTCTCCAGATATTTGCCAAATGTTGCCTGGGGAGCAAATCACCCTGACTGAGAACCACCAGTCTTAACCCACTATACCTATGGCTGGAACTCTTTTAACTTATTTTAAGAGTTTAGGCCCTGAAGGCATACCCAGGAGGTTTGAATGCTCACTCTGGTCTGTCCTTTGCTGACCTGGCCGTTGGTCTCAGGAACCTAAAATCAAGCCTTATGTGCCTACTCTGTAATATCAAAGAACGGTAGAACTCTTAAAAAGATTTCATCCATTTATTTATTTTTAGAGGGAGGGAAGGGAGGGAGAAAGAGAGGGAGAGAAACACTGACATGTGAGAGACCCAGCCCAATACCCAGGTATATGCCCTGACTGGGAATCAAATCAGTGGCCAGCACTCCATCCACTGAGCCACACCAGCTGGGGGAAAGAACAGTAGAATTGAATTGATGAGGCTGTTTGGATGATAATATGAAATAATGCATTGAAAGTCCTTAGCTTAGTGCAGCACATAGCTGCCGTCTGATAAATATTAAATGTTGTGATCATAGTCCTTTAGACTCTTGAAGGATGTATCTGTCAGGATCCAACTAGGAAAACGGAAACTCCTGTAGGATTTCAACAGGGAATTTCATTGCTCTTCCTGGTGGTAGAAGAGCTGAGAAGCCAAACAAGAATGGCGAGCATCCCTGGAGATTAACAGTTGTTAGATGCTGCCACCACAACCAGGCCAGGGATCCAGGGCAGTGGGAGGGCAACCCTGCAAAGCTGGAGCAGACAGCACTGGTGGGGCCATGCCAGGCAGGTGACTGTGGAGACACCCTCCTTGCTCTGCCCTCCAGTCTCCCACAGTACCTCCTGTTGGGCAGATCAGTTGGAAGCCACTATGACAAACCACAAAATAGTTGGTCCGTAGTGATGCATCAGTGCAGCCGACAGCTTACTCTGAAGGTCTGACCTAAGCTCCACGCATGTTTCCTCTGCAACTGGCATTTCTCACTTTAATCCCTGCACCACTGCCCCCCCTGCCCTCACTTAGAAAGTCTCTGAATCACCTATTTTCTCTGTCAAGTTTCATTGTGTCTATAATTTTGAAACTTGGGCTTTCAAAAACCTATTATTTTTAGTTAATTTTAGACTTTTTAAAAATTGCAAAAATAGCACACAAAGAATTCCCATACACCCATCACCCAGTCTCCCTGAATGTCAACATGTTACCTGCCATTGTGCGGTGATCAAATCCAGGAAAACCCCACCAGTGCGATATTACCCTAAACTATTGACCTTACTCAGATTTTACCAGCTTTGCACCTGGCACCCACTTTCTGTTCTGGGCTCCCACATTGCATTTAATTGTCCTGTCTCTTCGGTCTCCTGCAGTCTGGAACAGGTACTTGGCCTCTCCTTGCCCTCAATGACTTTGACAGTTTTGAAGTGTTCTGGCCAGTTGTCTCGTAGACTGTCCTTCCATGTGGCTTCTCTGACTAGAATGGGGGTGCGTGTTTGGGGCAGGAGTATCACAGAGATGCTATGGTATCCTTCTCAGTGCCTTTATCAAGGACGTCATTGAGTTAATTTGTCTTTTTACTGGTGAGGTTGACCTTGCTTACTTAAGGGGATGTCTGGGGGATTTCTTCACTGTCAAATTACTATCTTTCCCTATGTAGTTAATAAATATCTTGTGGGAAATATCTTTGAGGCTATGCAAATCCCAGAACAGGGATTTTAATATACTTGAGTTTTACTCACTTCTCGGTTCTATTGTTTATACTGTTTATTTTCTTGTATGATAGTATGTCGTATAGGAACGTTCCCTGCTTTTTCTGTGAGTTACAGAGTTAAAAAGAAATTACCAAGCAAGAAGATACAGCTTATCTTTAAAGCATTTAATATTTCCCCACTGTAAAAAGAGTTTATGCACATTGTAAACCATTTTGAAAAAAAAAGTTTAAGGAAAAAATAAATTACTATTACTACTTTTAACATTTTGAGATATTTCTTCCTCATTACTTACGGTTTATTTTAAGTCATGAATACATAAAATAAAATTAGTCAGTAAATGAAAAATATGACCAGAATCAAGAAGATTTAGAAGAAAAGGGAATTGGTAATGTCAGTGTCTCAGTGATACTGTGGTCTTTTTTTTTTTTAACTTAGTTTAGAAAAAAATAGACTTTGCTGAATTTGTTAATTGGATTATACTTCTTAACTAATAAGTTTTGTAGATCCAAGCATTTTCAGAGTTCTTAAATTATTTTTGTGACACGTTCAAACTCTGAAATTCTTGTTTCAGAATCGTTCTGTGCATTTAATTTTTACCAAGGATGCGGTAGATTCATTTTTATGGGGCAACATCACCATCTTGTGGCCTTCTAAAGTATTGCTGCTGAGGATTTAGATTTTTGTTGTCATAACTGTTAATGGGCCTATGTTAGATAATGCTGTAGGACTCCACCTCGTCCGTAGGCGGGGGCTCACCACTTTAACATGCAGTAAAATAGCAAACAACATGTTGAACACAATGTGTGTACAACAGGAAATAAGGAGTTGTTAAAGGTACAAATACAAGAATATAAATAGCTGTGCTTTGGAGTGGCAGGGTTATGGGTGAATTACTAGTGTTTTGTTCTTAACATTTAAAAAATGTGTTCTGCATAGTTTTTACCATATAACATTAGCACCTTACAAAATATCTCAATACACAGTTCAGACTACCCCCCTCCTTTGATGAGGAAATCCAGCCCAGGAGTGAGAAGCCTGTTTATAGTGTAGAAAACTGGTTTTTATCCCAGTGACCCTGGGAACCTGAGTCATAACTATAAGGATGTATTTATTTATTTATTTATTTATTTAAGAGAGGAGAAGGGAGAAAGAAGGAAAGAAACAATGTCCGGTTGCTCCTTGTACGCCCCCGACTGAGGATCTGGCCTGCAACCCAGGCATGTGCCCTGACTGGGATCGAACCGTGACCCTTTGATTTGCAGGCTGGCACTCAATCCACTGAGCCACACCAGCTGGAGCTCTATAAGGATTTTTTAAATGGCATTATTGAGATATGATTTATATACCATACAATCCCCCATCTAAGGTGTATATTCCAATGCCTTTAGTGTACTCACGGAGCTGTACAACCATCACCACAACTAACTTTACATTTTCATTATCCCCAAAAGAACCCCGGAGCCCCTTGGCATCACTCCCTGATCTCCCCCACCCCCACAGTTCTATGCAACCACGAATCTGCTTTCTGTCTATGTGGATTTGCCTTTTTTGGCTGTTTCATATGAATGAATCACACAATATGTGATCTCTGTGTCTGGCTTTTTACTACACATCCTGTTTTCAAGGTTCATCCACATTGTAACATGTGTCAGAACTTCATTCCTGTATTCCTAAATAAATGCCGTTGTCCACATAGACCATGTGCAGGCGTGAACAAGGGTTTCAGGGGAGAACGTGGTTATGAACCGATTCTGCATGGAGGCCAAAGAGGAGAGTATCTGCGGATGACCAGGGTGAGAAGGAAGGGTGTGGGCTGTTCTTGCAAAATTACCCCGTTAAGGGAAGAAGGGGTTTTTCTTAGGTTGTGTTTTAGTATACAGGAGACCTAAAAACCTTGATGGTCCAAATGCAAAGAACCAGGAGAGGCACAGAGGTTTGGGGACCAGAGCAGGGCATGAAGGGTAGAGACAGGGCTCCCCTGGGGGGAGGGGAGGCGTGCCAAGGGAAATGGATGAGGCACTTTACTTTCCAAGTCGGGATAAAATGTGTATGCCTTCTTTATCCAGAAAGTGAGGAGTTATAAGAGCTTATGAAGGTGTCTGTCCCAAATGGACAAATTGTGAAACGTGAAATTATAAAATTCCGAATCGTGGAGGGACACCTGTAGTTAATCAGATGTTGGGTGACTGGGGCATTACTGCCTGTGGTTTGTTACAGACTGTTTCTCTGTGTGGTGAAATAGACACAGAAGTTTACAACGCAAGTCATGTTCGAGCACACAGTTCAGTGGCATTAAGCACATTCACAATGTTGTGCCACCATCACCACCATCCATCTTGTCCTTGTCCCAAACTTTACCCTGTACCCATCACACAACTCCCAGTCCCCTCCCCTGCCCATCGACCACCATTCAACTTTCTGTCTCTGAGTCCGATCACTCCAGCCAAACCATATAAGTGGAATCATACAGTATTTATCTTTCTGTGACTAGTTATTTCATGTTATAGGCTTCATTATTATTATTATTATTATTATTATTATTATTATTATTATTATTTTATAGAGAGAGGGGAAGGGAAGGAGAAAGAGGGAAAGAAACACAGATGTGAGAGAGAAACATCTTGTATGCGCCCAGACAGGGGACCGAACCTGCAACCTAGGCATGTGTCCTGATCAGAAATCCGACTGCCGACCTTTCGCTCTGAGGGCCGATGCCCTGACCAACTGAGCCACACAAGTCGGGCCTCACATTACATACTTTTTAATACATAACTCTCATTTGCTCTCCTTTATACTTAATGGTTTTGTTTAAGTGTATTATACTTAATATACTAAGTATTTTGCTTCTTAATATACTTAACACTTTCACAGGCCTTTAAATACAGTCATCTGAGGGATTGAATATTTGTGTAGCATGCCACCTGGATTTCAAAAGCACTTTGATGTTGAATATTGCAGAACCATTAGTGTGATTCCATTCATCAAAAAGCCAAAACCCACAAGGTTCAGTCACTTGCCAAGAACTGTGTAATAAATGTAAATGATCCTTGATCTTAGCGGCTTAAGTGACAGAAGTTTATTACTGATCAGGGTTTTGTGGGGTGGCTGGGCTTTCTCAGGCACCTTCATGTGGCTACATCCACTGGAGGGTCTGCAGGGCCGGACAGTGCAAGATGGGCTTCCTCCACGCCTGCGGTGCTTCTGTCACCGCATGTGGCTTTTCACGCAGCTTCCTTCCCTGCCAGTCTCAGGGCCATGTCCCAGCAGGAAAGGACTACAAACCCCCACGGTATTTCTGCAACACTCAACAAGTCCTACAGCGAGTGACTAATCTGGGCAGGAGGCCAGTCCCGGTTCGAGACCGCAGTGTAAAGGGACCTGCATACTTTACAGAATTTGTGGTCGTTAAACAGTCTCCACTTTAAGGCCCATCAATGGTTGAGAATGGGAACTGTGAATCAAATCCAAACTCTAGACCATGGAGGTACCCAGACCTTTCCCGGTAGTGGTCAGCCACAGTTCAAGGTCTTTTGTTATACAAGGTCTTCTCCAGTACATGGGTCTCGAATTTAAACAGCAATTTCAGTTGAGAGGATTGCAGTATCTCCTGACTTGGGTGCGTACAGTTTCAGGGGAATTTGGGGTCCTTGCCACGCTCCCCCGTGTTGGTCATGGCTGGTCCTGTCGACCCCAGCCAAGCTGGAGGAGGCAGGGCTTCAGCATCCGATATCTGGGGCCCAGGCGGTTGGTGTGTGTAGGGGTGTGGTAAGGGGGAGTCCCTGCAACCTCCAGTCCTGTCCGGCTGCGTGGCAGGGATGGACTGCCTGGTCCGGCGGGTATGTGTGTGCTGGCTGGAGAGGGACCTTACAGCTTTTGGGTGGCCTGAGGGGTCTGAAAGGCCTTCCGTAGAGGGGAAGGCCAGCTTCTCTATGCTTTTTCACCCCGTCGCGGTGGAGGCCACAGGGAATGAAGGAGCATGGGCAGCTCTCTGGGGCACAAGAAGGAGGCAGCATAGGGGGCCACCATTTTCTTTCATCCAGGGACCCCAGAGAGCCTGGGAACCATAAGGTCAGATTGCTGGTGGAGGGACATGCACTGGGGCCAATCAACATGGGAAGCTGGGTGGCCTGTAGGTGGGGCCTCAACTGTAACCCTTTCCTGCCAGAGGGAATCTGCCTGAGGAGGTGTAAGAGGGGTCTGCTTCTGCCAGCATTGTCCCCAGAGTCCCCACCCGCCTCCTGAAGCTGTGGTGGGAAAGGCAGGGTGGAGGACAGCTCGAGGACAAGGGATTAGCTTGTCCTGGAGCTGGACCGGGGTGAGGGGGGCATGACACAGGAGGTCAGGCGGGGACTCCCAACCAGATGTCCCAGTACCTGGAGGATTTATTTCCCTGGCTCACGCCCCACTCAGGACTGGGCTTCACTGCTGTTGGGGGCTGGGTGAGCATGGAATGCAGGGACTTCTGGGGGTGCTGCAGGATATGTGGAGACCCTGGGGCCCAGAGCTTGGGCTGACCAGGCCTTGGAGAGCTAAATGTGGGCACCAGCCCAGGGAACTTCTAAGTGGGTATGGGGAACCAGGAGGAATTGGAACTGCAGAACTTGGGGTATAAGTGACAGGTCACAAAGGAGAAAACAAAATACGAGGGCAGGCAAGCTGTCTTGATTCTGGGCTATTAGTGAAAGATGGGAAAGACCCCACAACCCACCCAGCATCCACTCCCCTGAGAGGACGGAAAGACCATTCCACACTGATGCCCCGGGGCCAAGTCTCGGGTACACCGTGGCCCCCATAGTTCATTCTTCCTGCTTCTCCAGGCCAGGGAAGCCTAGATGACCACAGATTCTTGAACAACTTCACAGCCCTGTCCCCACCCAGCTGAGGCAGTGCCAGCACCAGCTGAAGCACAAGGTCCTTGCATTCATGGCGCCCCGGCACCTCCTGAGCTCCGGGTGGCCCCAGGCCTCCTGCCTGGGGTTGGGACAGGATCTAGTTGTGAGTCCAGGGAGTCCCACCTCCCAGGGCCAGGAACTCTGGTCTGCAGAGTGTCAGGGTGAAGAGGTTCTGGGAATTCTGGGAGGGTCAATGACCTGAGCCCACGGCCCCACTGTCTGCCTCGGATGCCTGGTGCTCAGGAACACCAGGGACTGTTACCCTGGACAAGGTACAGCAGGTGTCGTGTGGGGTTGGGCTCTGGATCTTCCTCAACTAGACTCCCAGCTCTGCTGCTTCATGGCTGTGTTAGCTGCCCTGGCCTGGCTCAGGGTCCTCATCTGCAAACTGGGTCAGTGACAATGGTAAACTTTTATAACACAAAGTGGGCTGAAAGGTTCAGTGGAAAAACCTGTGAAACACTCGGCCCCATCCTCTAGTCACTCAGATATCAGTATCTTAATCCCCCCAGCAGTGCCACCCTCCCCGCCCCACCAAGAGCCCTGTGCTTGGCACATGCTACACAGGGGAAAGTGGCGTTTGGATGGGGAGGTGACATTCTCGCTGCTGCCCAGAGAGGAACTGGCCAAGCAGAAGCAGCCGCCCAGGCTTCTCCAGCTGTGTCCAGGTCCTTGCCCATCCTGGTGCCCCATCTGCCCAGTCTGCACCCGGGGTCTGTTCTCCTGAGCCCCAGGCTTCACTGATGGGGGTTGTATCCTCTCTTAGGACAGAGTCCCTGGACTGCCAGCTCCCTTGCCAGGGAGGAGGAGTAGAAGTCCATCCACTGGGGCCTGAGTGCAGCCTGGGGGACAGGCTGTTGGTCCCAAGATGCCTCTGCCTGAGCCCAGCGAGCAGGAGAGTGAGCGTGTGAAGGCCGGTCAGGAGCTGTCCCCTGAGCCCCCTGGGACCGGCACTGATGTTATTCCTACAGCCCCTGTGAAGCTCCAGGAATTCTCTGATCTGGTTCTGCTAATCGCCTCCACTGAGAACGGGGGTGGGATGGGCTCCCTGCCCAAAGGAGCGCACTGCGTCACATCCCTGGAGATGTCTGGCCCCGACACCATGGCCAGGACCCTCCAGGTCCTGCCAGCAGAGGAGCAGGGAGGGCCAGTCCAGCCAAGCGCCCGGGCCTTCGAGCAGAAATACAACAAGCCAGACACAGGTGAGTTCCAGGCCTGCTACCCCTGGCCCTGCATGCTCAGACTCGGGGCCCCATGAACTTCCCCCTCCCTTTTCAGTGCAGTGACTTGGGATGCCCTCTCTGCTTGCCTCTAATTACAAACCTGCCCCAGGCCGGTGTGATGATCCTCATCCCTGTCCACCACCTCCCCCATCCCTCTGGTCCACATCCCTGGCTTCATGTTTGCTTTGTGTTAGCTAACCCAGCCCTCTCCTTGGTCTCAGCAGACCCCAAGCCCCTGGAGTTCCTGAGGACCCCATTCGGGGGCCGCCTCCTGGTGCTCGAGTCCTTCCTGTACAAGCAGGAGAAGGCTGTGGGGGACAAAGTGTACTGGAAGTGCCGGGAGCACACTGAGCTGGGCTGCCGGGGCCGAGCCATCACCCGAGGTTCCCGGGCCACAGTGATGCGGGGCCACTGCCACTCCCCTGACGAAGAGGGCCTGGAGGCCCGGCGCCGGAAACAGAAGCTGCGCGGTCCAGTCCTGCCAGAAGGCTCCGGGGGTCCTGAGGTCCTCCAAGGCCAGGTGGAGGAGCCACCCAAGGGAGTGGGCCCACCATGGCTGTGCCCCAAGGAGCCAGAGCCTGCCCCTGGGCTGGTGCCAAGCATGCCTGCTCCAGAGAGGAGTGAAGGGCTGCAAGCCCTGTCGATGCTGAGCTTGCCCTTCAAGAAACGCCGAGCAATAAGGATTGGTGAGTGCATTTTGGCTGCGTGCACCCCAGCCGGGGATCAAGCCCATGTCCTAGGCATGTGCTCTGACCAGCCATCAAACCAGCAACCTTTTGGTTACAGGATGACGCTCCAGCTAGCTGAGCCTTGCTGGCCAGGGCTCTTCTAGGATTTTCTGATGCAGTAGGGTCTGGTGTGGGGCCCAGAAACATGAGTTTTAATAGGCTCCATGTAATCTGGCAACCCATGCAGTTTGGGACGGTTGGCCTGGTGGGAGAATTTTGAGCTGTGAGTTCCAGACTGAAGTTCCTATTCCACCTTATGTAGCTGGATAGCCTCAGAGCATTTGCTGAATCACTGCAGTTTTGGGAGCTTTGTCCTAAGAAGGGTGATAGCCTAAGCGTCAGGGAGATTAGATGGTTGGCGTGTGGGAAGTGCTTGGCACCAGCCCAGCGTGTGGTGGTTGCACTGAGTAACTCGTAGATGGAATGTTCATGCAGTTGTTATTACTCGGAACTGGGAGGTGGGCCTGGTCCCAAAGGCAGGTGCCTCCTGACCTGGAAAGGATTTCAGCACTCAAGGATTAAAGGATTAAAGGCAGCTGTCCTGCTGGGTACCTGGGGCAGGATGAGGGAGAAGGATTGGCTTTATCTTCCTACCATTTGTATTTATAAGATGTGCAAGTATCACTCAAAAATTAGATAAAAATTTCAAACAAACCCTAAGAAAAAGTATGGCCTGAAGTGACTGAGCACATAGGCTGTTTTCCTTCCGGGTGTATGACCTTGGACGTGGCCTCCTCTCTGACCACCAGGAGAGGAACTGCAACCCCCACTTGGGTTGCTGGGTTGGGGGACTCAGTGAGGTGCATTTGGACCAAGCCCGCCTGGCCACCCATTCCACTAGCCGCACTGCCCGCTTCCTCCCCTCCCGCCAGTGTGACTGCCAGTTCCTCCTGCAGGCCAGCACCCGCTCTTGGAGTTCCTGAGGACCTGTTATGGGGGCAGCTTCCTGGTGCACAAGTCCTTCCTATACAAGCGCGAGAAGGCTGTGGGGGACAAGGTGTACTGGACGTGCCGGGACCACACGCTGCACGGCTGCCGCAGCCGGGCCATCACCCAGGGCCAGCGAGTGACTGTGATGCGTAACCACTGCCACCCACCAGACATGGAGGCCCTACAGGCCCGGCGGCAGCAGGAGAGGACCATGAAGATGCCGCAGGCCAGGCCAGGTGGCCCTGGGGGCCAAGTGGACAAGCTGCTTCAAGGCGCGGACGGCCTGCTCCACTGCAGGGCACCCGGCACCACGACTCTCACCAGGCCCCGTCCCAGAAAGCCCACAAAGCCCCAGGCCCTGCAGGGATCCCCTACCGAGGACCAGGACAAGGGCCTGGGTGAGTCCTTACCCACTGACCAGAACTGGGGCCTCCTCAAGTCTTACTTCCTGAGGGCCTGGGAGGCAAAAGCTGGGGGGGGGGGGTCAGGCCTGGCCCCGCCTTTTCTGATCACCTACCCCATTTTTCCTAAGGAGGCCCTGAGTTCCTGAGGACCCCTCTGGGGGGCAGCTTCCTGGTGCACGAGTCCTTCCTCTACAGGCGGGAGAAGGCCGCCGGCGAGAAGGTGTACTGGACGTGCCGAGACCAGGCCCGCATGGGCTGCCGCAGCCGGGCCATCACCCAGGGCCAGCGAGTGACTGTGATGCGTAACCACTGCCACCCCCCTGACCTGGTGGGCCTGGATATCCTGAGGCAGCGGGAGAAACGCCCTGGTGCGGCCCAGCGGGGAGTTTCAGGTAATTCATACGACGCAGGCCTGGGAAAAGGCAAGAGGTTCAGTCAGCTAGCCTCTCCCTCCTGACCCTCCGTGCGTCCTAGCAAGCGCCCTCCCTCCCCTTGCTAGGAGCACTCTGGAAGGAGTGACAGCCCTCTCCCTGCTCTTCCCTTTCCTCACCTCCACTCTTTGACCACCACCTCGCTGCATTTCCTGACCAGACCCCACCAGGCTCTGGACGGCTGGGGGTGGTCCCGCTGACTCAGGTGGCAGTCCTCACCCTCCTACTCAGACCAGCCGAGCTGCCCTGAAATCTCTACATGACCAACCCAGGCTCCCTTTTCCTTCTTCCTTTTTCTCCTTAAGAGCTTGTAGGATTTATAAAGGAAGCCGATTGCACACGGCCAGTTCATTTTCACAGTGTGAGTGGGCAATGCAGAGCCTAGTAACAAGCACATCCTGTGGACCTCGTGGTTAAAGACAGAAGGTGATATTTTCATGTAGTTAATCAACTACTTCTCTCTTCCAGCTGTTCTCCATAAATGTCTGTCGTCAGCCCTCAGGGAGCACTGATGAGAGTACACAGCCCCTCTCTTTCCAGCCTTGCCCGCGCGGTCAGCCCCACAAGGCAAGGTGCTTGAGCTCTCACGGTCACAGTGATGTCAGTGTCCCTGTCCTCATCTAGCTAAGAGCAACTTGGGCCCAGTTCTTTATTCACGTCAGAGAGACACCTGCCTCTCCTTCCGGGGTTACCAGTTGTATGATTTTCTGAGTCACCTGTGTCACCTTTGGAGTCTTTTTGGCCCTAAAGTTCTCTGAAGCTTGCAATCTCTGACTATATTTCTTCCTGACTCCCTTTCCCCACCCCCACGCCACCCCCGTTTCCTTGTAACTTCTGTGTCCATGGAGACAGAGCCACAAGGCACACGGCAGCCCTGCCCTGTCCTCACCCCCAATTCCCACCCCAAATAACCACTCTGGGCTCTTTCCCTTGTTTCTTAGAATATCTGTTGCCCTATTTCTTAAAATATGCTTCTCCCACTGTGACTGCTTTTTCAACCTCTTGTCGACTTCCAATGAAAGAAAGTATTGGTTTTAAAAAGAGAGAAAATACGGCTTCCACTGTTACCTACTGCCCGCATCCTTTCAACAAAGTTACTGCAGTTTTGGGGTTTTGCTTATATAAACCTGTTCACACTGAGCTGGGAATGCCCCGCTGTTGTTTCCTCTTCATGCAGGGCTCTGTTTTCCGGGCAGTCCAGCAGTCACTTTATTCGTCGGCCCAGCGTTCTGCATGCCCATCACTTCTCTTCTTCACACACCGCTTCCCTTCCTCATCCAGCAGCAGACAGCTCCAGGTTTTTTGGCTCCCGTCTGACTGGGGCCCTGCCTCACCATCTCCCTGTGGTCCCCTAGCTGGACCCTCATCTCTAGGTCTCTCTTGCTCCTGCTTGGTGTACCCCCTTGTCATTTGAAGTCCCTCCTCTAGTCACTGTAGCCTAGCAAGAGTTCCTGGAGGCTACACTCTTCAGACCATGCATATTCGAAGGCATCTTGATGGAGAGTGTGGCTGTCTGTGGAGCCCCAGGTTACATAAGTCCTTCTGCAATTGTATGGTCTCCGTTCTTGCATGAGGACACAGCTTTCTGAGGACTGATGCTGTGCAAGTAGTAATGCGTCTTGGCCTGGAGCTTTAGGTTGTGTCTCCATCCCTGGGCTGGTCAGTGTCCACAGGAAGAACTTCTACAGTGGTCTATGACTGGCTGCGGGTGTTCTGGGACTCGGGCAGAACTTGGACTTGGAAAATAAGCGAGAAGTGTCACGTTCCAGCTGCAGACTTCCACTTCCTCTTTCCACACCCCAAAGAGTCTTTCTTCCCCAGGCCCAGACACCCTTATGTCATTGCTCTTCATACAAACAACTCGTACCTAGGCCCCCAGTATAGCACTGCCCTAGACCCCACCTTCCAAGGGGCCTCAGACCCCCCAGATTTGCCCACGAGATTCCACTGTTCTCCGTTGCTTCCCCGCCAGGCTGGTTTGCCAAGTCTGTAACCACACCTGCCCCTCCACAGCCCCGCCTCTCCCATTCCATCAGCATCTCTGCTCTAAGGCCCTCTCCCCTCCTCTTCAGATTTCTGCCTCCGTACTCTGAGCCTTCATCATTCCTCAGGGGACATTCCCACTGGTTGTGGTGCCGGAGGAATGCCGGAGGAACCAAAACGGGCCCTGAGGTCAGCCGGCTCATTCCAGATCCAGATCCCCTCACCCTCTCCGGGGCCTTCTCACCATCCCCCTCCCCACGGGCTTCTGCTGTTCTCTGCTGTGGGGAGACAGATTTTCCAGTTTGTCTCCAGCTCCTCTGTGTGTCCCCTGGACGGAGGGAAGGGAGTCCTTTGAGCAGAAGGGTTTGGCCACCTTCCTCTCAACACATTCAAGACCTGGCTCACTCTATTGCTTACCTCCTCCTGCTGCCTTCGGGTCAAATCCCTACCCAGCCTGGCTCCCTGGAGAGTCTACTCTTCTATAACTCAACTCCCTGCTGCAGGAAGGCTGAAGGTGCCACACACAATGCCCATTTCACTGCTGATTACTTGTCCCCCGAAGGAGCTGTCCACTTACTCCTCCAGTGTATCAGGGACCTCACGGCCTGGTGTGCATCCCATCACAGGCACCTAGGATAAGCGAGCGCATGGACTAAAGACGCCCCCTTCCTGTAGGTACCATTAGATGGGGGCACAGCCCTCTGCCTTCAGGAGCCTCCACCTCACGGTCTGCAGTCTCCCCTCCCTGCCAGGCTCCAGAAAGGAGCCCCCAGGACCTGAGGGTAGGGTGGGTTTAATGCTCCTGGTGGGTGGGTGTCTGTGTCCTGGGCTCCAGGGCTCTCCTGCTGTGAGGAAGTGGGAGCAGCATGGGCGGGCTTGTGGAGGTCAACCCACTGCTCTGCTCCAAGGCCCAGGCTCCAGGCTTTCCCTCCCCTGACTGCTCCCCCTTTTTCCCCTCTTTCCCCCCAGGAGGCCCTGAGTTCCTGAGGACCCCTCTGGGGGGCAGCTTCCTGGTGCACGAGTCCTTCCTCTACAGGCGGGAAAAGGCTGCCGGCGAGAAGGTGTACTGGACGTGCCGAGACCAGGCCCGCATGGGCTGCCGCAGCCGGGCCATCACCCAGGGCCAGCGGGTGATGGTAATGCGCAGGCACTGCCACCCACCGGACCTGGGGGGCCTGGAGGCCCTGCGGCAGCGCGAGAATTCCCCCAGCCGAGTCCAGAGGGAAGGTTCAGGTGTGGGTTGGCGCTGGGCTCTGGTCTCCCTGCTGACCTGGCTGGCCCTGGGGCCAGCCTCAAAGCACAGGCTGAAGGCTGCCTGCTAGGACCTTCTATACATGGCCCATGTCCACTGGGGTCCAGCCAGGCACATCAGTCTGTCCATGTGGGCTGTGAGTTCCCCGAGGGCAGAGGCTGCATTTGGGCTCCTCGCTCACAGTGCTGGTCCCAGGCTGAGATGGGCTGTCAGTGGGAAAAACCCACTCAGACCATTGAAGAAAAGGGGGGTGGGCCAGGGTGGCATTATTGGCAGGTACAGGAAGTGCTTGGCACCCATTTATGGGGCAATGTGCCCAGACCTTCGGGGCCCTTTGTCTCCACTGTCTGGGTCTCTCTTAGGCCTGTTTTCCTCCGCCTCCTCTCTCTTCCCCTGCCACCCTCCCTGCATTTGTCTCTGGCCACCCCAACCCCAACATTGCTTGACCTTTCAGTTAAGGTCATGAGAGAGAGAGTTGATTGGTTGCCAGCTGGCCAATGGGAGGGTGGACAGGGAGTTGGGAGGTCCCTGGTGCACATGGTTCAGACCAGCCATGGGCCTCCCTGAATGTTCCAGCTCAGCCCCTGACCTGGGGTGCTTGCCAGGAAGTGTGGGGTTCAAGCCAAGACAGGAGAGGCCAGCAGGAAGCTCCGGGTTTGGGTGGCTGCAGAGCCAACCTCCCCAGGCAGCACTAGCACCCTTAGAGACAGCGTCTCCACTTGTAGGTGTCAGGACTATGGGCCCTGGGCTGGTGACCTGAGCTTTGGTCCCCAGGGCCCTGAGGTACAGACGGGGGTAGTGACCAGAGTGATTACTACAGAGGGTGGGGGTGGGGATGACAGTTTCCTGGTTGGAGCAGACTAGTGGGAAAAAGGCGACAGGCTCCCTCCCCGGCACCTAGGCTCCTGCCCCTGCCCCAAGGTCTGGCCCAGGCACTCCACTCACAGCAGTGTGTTCCTTCCAGGAACCCCCCAGCCTCTGGAGTTCCTGAGGACGTCCCTCGGGGGGAAGTTCCTGGTATATGAGTCCTTCCTCTACAGGAAGGAGAAGGCCGCCGGTGAGAAGATATATTGGATGTGCCGGGACCAGGCCCGGCTGGGCTGTCGCAGCCGGGCCATCACCCAGGGCCAGCAGGTGACCGTGATGCGCAGCCACTGCCACATGCCTGACCTGGTGGGCCTGGAGGCCCTGAGGCAGCGGGAGAAGTTCCCCAGTGCAACCCGGCAGGAAGACCCAGGTACAGACAGGGATGGGGGGCAGAGGAGGGGCACAAAAGCCTGTGAGATCTTGGTTTTCACCAGCCCAAGGTTCAGACACCTCAGGGGACAGGCACTGTCTGGGGAGCTTTGTGCCCTGGCCTTTCTGTCTTTCCAGAATCCTCTGTCTGTCCTCTCTTCTGGCTTCTTCTCCTGAACTGGAAAACATACCTAAATCTGTCACATCTTTAAAAACAAACTACCATTTTCTCTTTTATTTTGAGGTCTTAACTTTTTAATGCTTGTAGTCTCTTTTGAAAATCTGATGAAAAAATATAGACCACCCCAAAGATTGAACTAAGGTATGGCCCACGCACAGGCAAACACTCCTGTAAATTTTGCAAACAATTAACTGTGTTGAACTGAAATGGCTTGTCTTCACATAAACAGAACATAAAATCGGTCTTTAGAAAGCATTGTGTGTCTCACATGAATTCATGTAAATATTAAGGGCCATGTCTTGTAAAATACAGAAATGAATCTAAGTTGTATAAAACAACCAAAAGAAACTGTATTTCTGCTTAAAACATAAGAGAAAATTTCCAGGAGTTTCAATAGGCTGTAGAAGTTGTGGAGTGCCTTCCGCACGGTAAGGGGCAGAGTCTCTTTGACATCGGGTAGATTCCCAATCTTTTTGATGACAACGGCAGCAGACTCTTGGAATCTCCTAGAGCTTATTTTACCAGGCACAGGCGGTTTGGGGCTTCCCAGTGACTCCCCAGATCAGCATCATTCTACTGGTTTTCTTTATCCTTAGGCCTTGAGATCTTCATTACAAGGTATGTGTCATTGGCTCTAGCAGCTTCAATAAGAAAAGAGTTACTAATCCAGGTTTTCAATTTTTTTTTCTTCAGAAAAGATAAAACTCCTGCCTACAGTTCAACTGTGCTTCAAGACTTGTTCTCCTGAAAGCCAGCAGATTAATGGGTAATTGTATTAGTTATCTCATGCTGTGTCACAAATTACCCCAAAGTTTAGTGACTCAAAATGACAAATATTTACTGTCTTACACAGTTTCTATAGGTCAAGATTTCAGGAGTGGTTGGGCCGGGTGCTTTTGGATCAGGGTCTCTCACGAGGTCCAAGAAAAGGTTTCAGCCAGGGCTGCAGTACTCTTAAGGGCTTGAGGAGGGCTGGAAGGAGGAGTTCCCAGGTGGTCCATTCACTTACATGACCGCGAGACTCAGTTTCTCACCATACAGACCCCTCCACAGGGCCGCCTGAGTGCCCTTAAACATGACAGCTACCGTCCCCCCAAATGAGTGGAAGAGCAGAACAAGAAGAAAACCACCAACAATAGCAGAGTCCACATGTTTCTCAAGCACACATAGAACATTCTCCAGAATAGACCATATCTGAGCGATAAAACAAGACTCCATAAATTTAAGGGGATTGAACTCATACTAAGAGTGCTATCTGACCACAGTGGAATGAAACCAGAAATCAGTCACAGAAAAAAATTTGGGAAACTCACAAATATGTGACAATTAAACAACATATTTCTAAATAATCAATGACTCCAAGAAATCACGAGGGAAAGTAAAAAACACTCTGAGATGAACTTTAGAGACACAGCAGACGAAACCACCTGGGGTGCACTGAGCGCACTCAGAGGGCAATTTAAAGCTGTAAATGCTTATGTTAAACAACAAAGATCTCAAATCTACAACCTAAACTTACATATTAAAACACTAGAAAAAGAACAAAGTAAAATAAAGTAGAAGGAAGGAAATGATAAATATAAAAATAGAAATTAATGAAATGAAGAAGAGAAAGTTAATAAAACCAAAAGTTGGTTCTTTGAAAGAATCAACAAATTTGACATTTAGTTAAATTGACCAAAAAATATTTTTTAATTTAGAGAAAACTCAAATTATTAAAATCATGAATGAAGGATGGGATGTTACTCCCTACCTCATAGGAAAGAAAAAGGATTATAAGGGAATACTATGAACGACAGCATGCCAACAAGTTAGATAATTCAGACGAAATGAAAAAAATTCCTAGAAAAACAAGCTCAAGAAGAAATACAGCCCGACTGGTGTGGCTCGGTTTGGTGTTGTCCTGCCAATGCCAAAGGTGGCCAGCTCGATTCCTGGTCAGGGCACACGCCTGGGTTGCAGGCTAAGTCCCCAGTCAGGGCACAAACAAAAGGCTACTGATTAATGTTTCTCTCCCTCTCTTTCTCCCTCCTTTCCCCTCTCTCTAGAAATAAATAAATAAAGTCTTTTTCTCAAATAAGAAGAAATAGAAAATCTGAGTAGACCTATATAACAAGAGATTGAATTAGTAATTTTAAAACTTCCCACAAAGAAAAGCACAGCCCCAGATGAATGCTTTCATTGGCGACTTCTAAAAACATTTAAATAATGAACACCAGTTCTTCACAAATTCTTCCCAAAAACAGAAGAGGAGGGAGAGGACTGTCGGGGTAGTGAAAATGTTCTGCAGGTAATTATGGTAATGAATGCACAACCCTATGAATATACTAAGAGCATCAAATTCAATACTTTAAATGGGTGAACTGTATGGTATGTGAATTACAACTCAATAAAGCTGTTTAGGAAAAAGGGGGGAAAAGCCACGATGGCTTCACTCCTGCTTTACTCTGTTCATTAGAAGCCAAGTTGCCTCACCCAAGGGAGAGGAATCACACTCTTCCACTTGGAATGAGAAATATCAAGGAATTAGCGAACATTTTCTAACCCTATCACAGTAACAGAGGATAATTTTTTTTCTGACAAAGAATCTTGAAAAGGCTTGGCTAGTTCCAGAGCATCACGCGGGACCCCGTAGACACGTTGGCATTTCCTCCCAGGGCGCTGAGATGTAAAGAGTCGGGAATTCCCGAGTTTCGTGGCAATGGTGTGATCTCGGTTCTAAAGAAATTGACATGATGTATGTATATGTGTGTGTGTAAAAATGTTTTGGTTGATGGTTTTCTCTAGGGAAAAAGTATTACAGGAATCCTTAACTTTCTCTTTTCCCTATGTCTGCCATTTTTGGGTTTTTATGATGAATATGTGTTTCTTTGTAATCAGAAAAGTCAAAGATATAAAGCCCAACAGTGATTCTCAGTGAGGCCAGTCTCTTCTCCAACTCAGAGGAACCTCATGTGTCCCCAGCTTCAAGGATGTTCCGCATCTACACGGCACCCCGGCATTTCCCACCTGGTTAGCTTCTGCTGGACAAAAGCCCTTTTCTGCTCTCTGAAAGCATCAGCGGCTTTCACGCTTCGGAGAGGCCACCCAGGAGGAATGCTCTGATGTCATCTTCGTGCAAGCAAACAAAAGTGCCAGAAGCTGGCAGCTTACAGGTGTGGGTGATGTGGGGAAGGCCTGACCTCCAAAAGATCTGAAGAAGCATCTTTTGACAAAATCACTCTTCCCTGTCTGCCACCCAAAGCCACAAATACCCATCTGTTTTCACAGCACAAGACTTTGCCAAGGACTTTCCAGTTGGGTGTGGCCCTGCTTTGGCCAAGGAACATTTGGGGAACTTTCTGCTTTTTGGAGCTGAGCTGCCCTACCTAGCTCCAGCCACTCAGGTGTTTTCTAGACAGGTGCCAGGTGGGCCTTTGTGCCCCTTGGCCACCTGCTGCTGGGGTGCAGTGATCACTGAGAGTAACAGCAGGCCAAACAAGAGGCCCCATCACACACACTGCCCCACTTTCTTTCCCTCAGTTTTCCACCTTAAACCCAGCGATCCCCACAGCAGGTGTTCCTGGCAGTGGAGGCCAGCCTGGATGTTCGCAGAAAGCCAGCATGGGGCAAATTCTACCTGGCTAAGGCCAGCAGTGTCCTGGCACCTGCATTTGTCTGACGCAGGAGGAGAGGCAGATGTGGATGGCAGCCGAAGTGCAGTTCTTTCTCTCTGCAGGTAACACAGCAGAGACCTGCCCTAACAGGTTCAGGGGAAGCAGGCTGATGTCCCCCTGGGAACGCCAGAGGCTTTCATGCTTGCTAACAAGTCTTCATCTTCGACAGTGAGACTCCTTTCCCTCATTCTGTAATTGCAGAGGGAGCGCACATGCAGGCTCTTTCTCTCCTGGCAAGCCGACCATGGAGCCTGCCATCCCACCACGAGACAGTGACATCTCGGAGGCCCCTCACTGCCCCTTTGCTTGTTCCTTTCCCTCAATAAACCTTATTTTATATATCTCACTATGCAGAGCTGGTGTGTATGTTCACATCCCCTTTGCAACAACAGCTGGCCATCACGGAGCCACACACTCCAGACATCTCAGTAGCACATGGTGGGAAAGGTGGACTTTGGCTTAGTTCCCCGAGGATGGGGAACCTCACACGGGCCTGAGGTGCCTGGTGAGAAGCACTGAGCCACACCCGTTGCCACCTGCAGAGCCTGCACTCTCTACCCATTCCGCAGCCTCCCCAGTGGGGCCTTCTGGCCAGTAACTTCCCTGGTCCCAAGTCCCATGGCTGTCACCTTGGCTGGGACAAAGTCCCAGAAGTTGGGGTGCAGTGTGAAAAGAATTTACAGAGGACACAGGACCAGTGCACTTCCTCTTCTCCAAACCTACTTTTACCTTAGAGGACAGATGGATGGTCCATGTTGCTCGGACTGAGGACACCCAGATGGACATAAATTTGGACACTGCCATCACCTTGGGTGGCCCCATGGCCCCTCAGCTGCTGGAAGTGTCGTCCTCCTAAGTCTACTTCCTCTGTGGTTCCAGAGCCACGGAGATGTCCCCTGCTCCATCACTATTACAAAGTGCACGGGGCAGACTGCTCTCTTGGGAGCTGGCCCCTCTGCAGACAGCAATCCCTCAGCGGGGTCGTGCTTTCCTTCCCTGCTCCCACTCTGCTTCTAGTTTCCCCCCAATAAACCCTGTTCTACTACGTCTGCATCCCAGGTGGGTGGTATCTCCATGCTCCTCTGCATGATGGGGCACAACAATGTCTTAACTGGGCAATTAAAAAAGTTCACAAGGGGACTTCTGCCAAGATGGAGGCATAAGTGGATGTGCTGTGCCTTCTCACACAACCAAGTTTAGAGACAACTAAATATTAGCAACAGAAAACACAGCCAGAACACGGAAAATTGAACTTTTCAGAAGTCCATTAACAACAAATTCTTCAGCCTGACCGGTAAGGGGCAAAACCAGCGGCTGGTGAAGTGTGGTTGCGCAGGAGGACTCGGTCAGACGGACTCAGGCGCGCGGAATCCAGATGCGCGGAATCCAGGCACAGGGTTGGACCTAGTGAGCCACCGAGCGAGCAACCAGGCAAGCGACCGCAGGGGAGACAGCGGGGGAGCGGTGCTGCGTGTTGACTGTGGTCGCGCATTTGTGCGCAGGTGGACAGGCAAGGGAGTGGGCGGTTGGAGTGGGCGGTTGGACCGGGCCCAGCGGGTCCCCACAGCAAGCGGCAGTGGAGGGTGCCGCCATTTCCCTGCTCTGACACCACCTCCACATACAGCGTCATAACCCAGCGACTCTGAGTGGCCCCGCCCAGGTGAACCACCTAAGGCACTGCTCCTCACCCAGCGGTGCAAAACAGCAGAGGAGGTCGCCATTTCCCCGCTCTGACCACGCCCCCACATACAGCATCACAACCCAGCGACCTGGGAGTCCAAGGCGCCGCTTCTCACACTTAAAGGGCCAGAACAGACCAAAAATGGCTCAAGAAGATCTCAAAGCCCCAGAGCCCATAGATCTAAGCGATGAAGAAATAGCAAAACTCTCAGACACACAGTTTAAAACACTGGTGATCAGGATCCTCACAGAACTGGTTGATTATAGCCACAAATTAGACAAATATATGAAGGCGAAACTAATTGAAATGAATGGAATTGCACAGGAAACCAATAACAATGAAAAGGAAACTGGGACTGAAATCAATGGAGTGGACCAGAAGAAAGCAAATAATGGCCAAACAGAAAAGAGTCAAGAAGCAAGAATTCAAAGAAATGAGGAGAGTCTTAGGAACCTCCAGGACATCTTTAAACGCTCCAACATCCGAATTATAGGGGTACCAGAAGGGGGGAAGGCACAGCCACCAGTGGAAAACTTATTTGAACAAATAATAAAGGAGAATTTCCCCAATCTGGCAAAGGAAATAGACTTCCAAGAAATCCAGGAAGCTCAGAGAGTACCAAAGAAGTTGGACCCAAGAAGAAACACACCAAGGCACATCATCATTACATTAGCCAAAATTAAAATGAAGGAGAGAATCCTAGAAGCAGCAAGAGCTAAGGGGACAGTCACCTACAAAGGAGTCCCCATCAGACTGTCAGCAGATTTCTCAAAAGAGACCTTACAGGCAAGAAGGGTCTGGAAAGAGGTATTCCAAGTCATGAAATCCAAAGACCTACAACCAAGATTGCTCTATCCAGCAAAACTTTCATTTAGAATGGAAGGACAGATAAGGTGCTTCTCAGATAAAATCAAATTCAAGGAGTTCATCATCACCAAGCCCTTATTATATGAAATGTTAAAGGGACTTATCTAAGAAAAAGAAGTTAAAGAAACATGAACAGTGAAAGGACAACAAACTCACAGTTATTAACAACCACACCTAAAACGAAAGCAAACTAAAAGGACAGCTAGATCAGGAGTGGAAACATAGAAATGAAGATCTCAAGGAGGGTTAGCAACAGGGGAGTGGGAGGGAGGAGAAAGGGGGAGAAGGTACAGAAAATAAGTAGCATAGACAGTAGATAGAAAATAGAAGGGGGGCAAGAATAGCATGGGAAATATAGAATCTAAAGGACTTGAGACACTTGGTCATAAACTAAAGGGGGGTAATAGTGGGGATGGGGGGGTAGGGTGGAGGGGAATGAAAGGGGGAATAGAACAACTGTAATAGCATAATCAATAAAATTTAAAAAATAAAATAAAATAAATTAAAAAAAACAACCACAACTAAAATAAAAGCAAACTAAAAGGACAGCTAGATCAGGAGCAGAACCATTAAAAAAAAAAAAAAGTTCACAAGGGCCCTGGCTGGTGTAGCTCAGTGGATTGAGTGTGGGCCTGTGAAGCAAAGGAACGAGGTTCAATTCCCAGTCGGGACCCATGCCTGGGTTCCAGGCCAGTTCCTGTCAGGGCACACATGAGAGGCAACCTACATTAATATTTCTCCCCCTCTCTCCTTCCCTTCCCCTCTGGAGATAAATAAATAAAATCTAAAAAAATAAAAGAATATGGAAGCTTTAAAAAATAACCTCTGTAGGAAAAGCTTGGGAAAGCTTCTGCAGGGTGGAACTAAGGACCTCCTTTCCACTAAAGTCAGCAGATGATTCTCAGAGCTCACGCTCTGGCACTGACCACCCCCGTATCTGCCTTGATGTGGTCTCTTGAACTGGTTTCTTGGTTCCCCAACCCCTTCCTGCATTCCCTCCAGTCTCAAGGGATGCTCTTCCCCCTCCTGACCCTCCTAACCCCTGACCTGGGGGTTGGTGCCTGGTGGTTGGTACTTTGGAAACTGTACCTCAGCCCTTTTCTGCCCAGCCACTTTCACAGTTCATGGTTTGTTGGTGTGCAGCACCAGCCTAGCCCTCCCCTCTGCAACCAAACCTGTGTATCCAGCTGTCTCAGGGCCCTGGCCCTGGGTGCACCAGAAGGGGGCAGCAAAGAGGAATGTCTACTTGTTCTTGTTCTGGTCTGGTGGCCCCACCACACAAGTAGAGTCATCTTCAACACTGTCCTGCTTGTCCCTACATGTCCCATCAGTCGTCAGTGTCCACCAGTGCCATCCTACCCAGTTTCATTTTTTTTTTGTAGTAAAAGCTTTATTGAGCTCTAGTCCACATATCATACAACTTATCCAATAGGCTGTAGCAAATGTAATTAGTTAAGACGAGGTCATCGTGGAGAAGAGAGACCCTAATCCAACAAGTGCCATCCTTATAAAAAGGGGAAATTTGGACACAGACACGCACACGGGATGAAGATGGAGGCAGAGGTCCTGGTGATTGACACTTCTGCAAGCTAAGGAATGGCAATGATGGCCAACAAACTGCCAAAGCCAGTCCAGAGCCAAGGAACAGATTCTCCCTCACAGCTCCCAGAAGGAACCATCCCTGACTGTGAACAACACATTTTTATTGTTTAATTCCCCAGTCTGTGGATCCCCTCAGCAGGAGGCAAGGGCCCTGGCTTCCTTAGTAGGAGGTTCCATGTGCCACCTAGGACTGGCTCTTGCACTGGGGACACTGCCCTTCCTCTCAGTGCCTGAGTCCTGGAACTGAGCACCCCCCCTTTCAACCAAAACCCCCTTTTCAGGAGACTAAGGTAGTGGGGAGTGGGGAATGCAAGTGCCGTGGACCCGATGGACAGTCCTTTTTGGTCCAAACTCCCTCCAGGGAAGGGGCCAGTTCCTAGTCTATTCCCCCACAACCTCCATTGTGCATGTGGGGTCCTGGTTATCCCTGTCCCTCACCTCACCCTTTCCTTAGCAGCCTGTGACTGAGGGCTGCAAGGGACCCCATGCACCCCCATCGCCCAGATGCTGGCCCAGGCCTGTGGCCCTAGGATACTCTCTGTGATCCCATGGAGCCTCTGCAGCGAGAGTACTCACAGGCAGAAGAGAGAAGGGAACCCAGGCCATGGGTGGCTACCCAGTCACCAGTTGCAACTCCCAGTCAGGTGCTCCACGAGGCCAGGACACTGAGACGTGAGCTTTGGGCCAGCCTGGCCACTGACTGAGCTCCCCAGGAGGCAACTCGAGTGCCAGCCTTGAGTCTCAGCAAGCCCTCCTCCTTCCTACGGTCCCCTGTGTGCCACCCCCATCCACTTACCCAAGAGCCTGTGTGTGAATTACTAACTGTGAGGTCTTCTCTGGAGTCTCAAGACGCCAGAGGCATCTTGGTCTTTCTAGAATCCTCCCTGTAACCCCCATCTTGGGTGGGGGATGTGGTTCAGGGCTGACATGTTGGGGAAAGATCTTCCCAGGCTGGACAGCCTGATTTAGGCCTGGTGAGGAACAAGGCTGGACTGAGGGGCAAGGGATTTGAGCGAAACTGGTCCGTTTTGGACGTCCGGACACCACCCATCTCCTCCCCAGGTCCCCCCCCTCCAACGCACCTGCGCTGGCCTCCCCCCAAACCCTGGGGGCAGCCGGCGGGCTGCTCTGGGAGATCAGAGAACTCAGTGGAGTCGGGCCCAGGGGGAGGGGGCGGGGAATTTCCCCCCACGCCTGCCTAGGCCTGTTAACCTCCCCCTTCTTCGCAGGGGAAAGGGGGGGTACCGCTGGGGGAATTCCATCGCGCTGTGATGGCTCCGGGGAGCCTGGACTAGGGGTCTTAGCGAGCGAAGGGGGAGGAGGAGGGACAGACTGGGACCAGGGGCGCAGCTGCCTTCATCCCCAGACATCAGCTGCCCCTGCCTGTCCGGGACTGAGCGGGCACCATTCCCGCCTGTCTCGAGGGTGCGGGGGCATGGAGTAGCACTTCCTCTGTCAGGCCAGAGGCATCCGGATTTGTGGAGCGAGGGGAATGAGGATCTGCGAGAGAGTATGCGAGCGTCTGACAATGAATGGGCGACTGAGTACAAGTGCCTGCCAAGTGCATTTCATTGAGGAGTGCTTGTGAGTAGTGTTCCGGGGGCGTGTGGCCTCGAGAGAGGGCTCTGTATCTCCCCCATTATGGCCTTCCCCCACACATCCCACTAGAACCTGCACAGACCCTGAGAAGGGGAGGGGGTGGAGAGGCCCCCGCCGGGACGCTGAGGGTCCCGGGGCAAGCAGGAAAGGCGTCTGGACCTGCCGCCTTCGCTCCAGTCTCGGGCGGGGCTTCCCGGCCTCAGGGGTGGGAGATGGGGAGGTAGGGACTCAAGGGGGAGGGACTCAGGGGGAGGGACACCCAGAAGGACGCGAGGGGGGCAGGAGCCCACTCATTAGAAACCTGCAGTAGGGAAACTCAGAGCGAGGCTCAGCGCGAGGGGGCAGGTGTGGAGGCCAAGGCAAGACCCCCGAGCATCGAGAAGCAGAGATGGAGAAGCCCTTGGCCAGAGATCCCCTGGGAGACCTCCAGTAAGGACGGGGCAGAAAAACGCCTTCAGGGCCAGAAACCCCGGGAGGCAAATACCCTGGGGAGATATTTCCCCGCCCCAGACGGAATGTGCTGCTCAGAATGGGACGAGGATTCACAGTCAAAGGACAACCACCCCCCTCCCACTCCCAGGTCTCCTGGAAGACCACGGAGAGACCCCAGGGGTGGAACAGGTCGTGCGCGGTCCAGGGCAACCTCTCCTAGCTTGGGGGAGATGGGGACACGACCCCCTCAGAGTCTCCTTCTTCTCCTCCTCTTCCTCCCGGCGCTGTCGCCACGGGGGGCCTCCGCGGGGAGCCTGCATAGCCCAGGTGAGTCTTGGCTCAGCTACTGGACCTTGGTCCCTATTCCCTCCTCTGCCTTCGCACCTAGGAGCTGGGTTCCGAGCCAGGGGGCCGGGCAAGGCAGGTGGCAGGAGCAACTGAGCAGCCCCCAGGGCCCCGTGGGTACCAGATGCGCCAGCTGGGGGGCCGGTAGGAGTTGTCGTTGGGTGACGGGGTGAGGATATCGAGCCAGGCTCTGAACCTCCCAAGGCTCTGCCGTTGCCGTGCAGGCCTATCCGAGTGCTTCCAGGTGAACGGCGCCGACTACCGTGGCCACCAGAACCGCACGGGCCCTCGCGGGGCGGGCCGCCCTTGCCTCTTCTGGGACCAAACGCAGCAGCACAGCTACAGCAGCGCCAGAGACCCGCAGGGTCGCTGGGGGCTAGGAGCACACAACTTCTGCCGGTGAGGGGCGGGGAAGGGGCGGGCCTCTTGGGGAGGAGCCTTTGGGGCTGGGCCTTGCGGGAGTCGGGGCTGGGTGCACCCTTGGGGGCATGGGCGGGAGGCAGGGGGGGGTAGGTGCAGCAGAAGGCCTGGGGGCAAGCCTTAGCTGCGCTGGGGGTGGGGACGGGCACTCAAAACTGTTTCCGACTTGGGTCGCCCTTAGGTGCCCAACTGCTGTACAATCTCAGGTCAGACCCGGGTGTTCAAAGAGGCCCTTGCGGGCGGGGCCAGAGTGCCATCTCTGGAATGAGGGGCCTGGTTCTTGCCCTACAACTTCTTGAGAGGGGGGCATCCACTAGCGGTGACAGAGGGGTTGGAAGTTTCAAGATACAATTGTTGTATGGAGCTGCAGGGACGAGCTGAGCAGGAGGACACTTCTCTGCTTACAGAAGTCGCCACTTCTGCTTTAAAGCAGGGCTCTGAGGCAAGGCACGAGACCGAGGCCCAGGGCTGAGCGGGCAGCGAACGCTACAGAGAACACTCAAAGTCCTCAGCTGAAACCTAAAACCAGCCCTTAGGCCCCTTTAATGACTTCCCATTGTCCACTCGGAAGTGGACACGCAGAACAGAGAGCTACTGTACCACTTGTGGTGGCCGTTTTGTGGATAGGCCCGGGGCGGTGCCTGGGATTTGCAGGTAGCAGGATTTGGACAACTTCTCCCCATCTGCAGGAACCCAGACGGTGATGTGCAGCCGTGGTGCTACGTGGCCGAGACGGAGGAGGGCATCTATTGGCGCTACTGCGACATTCCCACATGTCACAGTAAGTGGGCCCGGCCGGACAAGGGTGGGAGCACTGAGCTGCTTGAGTGAAGTTCACTTTCCGTGCCACTGGACAGACCCTGACTCCCCTGCCCCCTCAGTGCCCGGGTACCTGGGCTGCTTCGTGGACTCAGGGGCACCCCCCGCCCTCAGCGGCCCCAGTGGCACCTCAACAAAGCTCACGGTCCAGGTGTGCCTTCGCTTCTGCCGCATGAAGGGCTACCAGGTACTGCCCAGAGGCCCAGACCAGTGACCCCTGACCTTGACCGAAATCAGGAGCGAAAACAATTCCCAACTCTGACGCCAAACTTCAGCACTGATTTCTGAACCTCCGGCCCGATTCCCACTCTGAACCCTACCCCTGGTCCCACACCCCACCCTTACCCCAGACCCTGCCCTTGGCGTCACACAGTCTGTGCTCCCAGCTGGCGGGCGTGGAAGCTGGCTACGCCTGCTTCTGCGGCTCTGAGAGCGACCTGGCCTGGGGACGCCCAGCCCCGGCCACCGACTGTGACCAAATCTGCTTCGGCCACCCGGGCCAGCTGTGCGGCGGCGATGGGCGCCTGGGCGTCTACGAAGGTGAGGAGAGGGCGGGAATGAGCTGCCTGGGTGAGGGGCGGGGCCTGGGAAGGGAGGTGGTAGGCCAGGGGCGGGGCCTGGGAAGGGAGGTGGTAGGCCGGGGGCGGGGCCTGGGAAGGGAGGTGGTAGGCCGGGGGCGGGGCCTGGGAAGGGACTGGGTTGAGAGCCAGGGCGGTGGACGGGACTGCGCTGAACTTGGGAGCCAGGGAAGGGGCCTGGCGCAGGGAGCAGGATTTGAGGGAGGGGCCAGAGGAAGCTGTTGGGTCTGCCTGGGTGCGGGCTTAGCTGGAAAGGGGAGGGGCTTCTGGGTGGAGCCCGCAGGTCTGGGCTCTGACCCTCGACCCTGCCCACAGTGTCGGTGGGCTCCTGTCAAGGGAACTGGACCGCACCTCAGGGCGTCATCTACTCCCCGGACTTCCCGGACGAGTACGGGCCAGACCAGAACTGCAGCTGGGCACTTGGTCCGCCGGGCGCCGCGCTGGAACTCACTTTCCGCCTCTTCGAGTTGGCTGACCCGCGAGACCGGTTGGAGCTGCGCGACGCGGCCTCCGGCAGCCTGCTCCGCGCCTTCGACGGCGCCCGCCCGCCGCCACCCGGGACTCTGCGCCTCAGCACCGCGGCGCTGCTGCTCACCTTCCGCAGCGACGCGCGTGGCCATGCGCAGGGCTTCGCGCTCACCTACCGAGGTGAGGCCCGGGACCCATCACCCCTGTGACCGTTCCCCCGCCCTCTGGCTCACATCCCTCTCCACAGGTGTGCAGGACGCGGCGGAAAACCCGTTGCCTCCCAAGGGCTCTGTCCAGACCCCTGCAGCACTCCCCGACGGGACCAATGTGAGCTGCAGCCCCCGGCCTGGGGTTCCGGAGGCCACAATGGGGGGTGAGGTGGGAGCTTAAGGCGGGAGGGGGTTTGGGGAACAGACCCTCTGAAGCCCTGTCCTCACCGCAGCCATCTGCCTACAGCCCGAGTGTTCTCGACAGTGATGGCCATCTCAGTGTTGCTGCTGCTGCTGTTGCTGCTGTCGCTCCTGCGCCAACGGTGCTCGCCCTGGGGTGCCTCATGCCTCGGTACTCAGGAGTGGGGCGGGGCGGGGCGGGGAAGCTGGGGCCCAGGAGGAGAACTCCTAAGTTCTTGAGGGGCACAGCCTTGGGCCCACACAGGGAATCCTGCCTGGGATAGCAGGCAAAGCAGGATGCTGGAGGTGAGACTGGTTGGGTGTTCGGCTGACGTCTGCTCCCTCTCTAGGAGTTGTCTGCTGGTTCCAGGAAAAGGGCCCCCAGCGCTGAGGCTTTCCCAGGGCTCTGGGAGAAGCTGGGCTGTGTGGTACCGCCGTCCTGGAGGGGTGGCACTGCCCCGACCCCCTGGCGACTCCCAGGTGGAGGGTCTAGCCTCGAATTACCGCCCGCTGAGCACCTCCAGCCAGAGTTCCCTGCGTTCGCTCATCTCTGCTCTCTGACTCAAGATCCCCAGGGTCCACTGGATCCTCTGACAGTGGGATGTACACCCGAGACTCTTATGCTGCACTCTGCCTTGGCCTCCCACTTTTTAAAGGGCAGCTCTGCCGCTGGTCATCTCTCAGAGACCAGGCATCTGACAGGAAGCATCTGGTACTGTTATTGGGAACTTGACCTGACTCTAGGTGCCCAGATGGTTGAGGCCAAATGGCAAGAGGAATCAGCTGCCCTCCGCATAGATTATGATACGGAGATCTGATTTCAGGGGTCTTTGGGCCCTTATTTGGGTGGTCCTGGACTCTTGCCCTAACTCAAATATGAGAGGTCAAGAAAAGTGAGCAAAAGGCCAGTTGGACTTTAAATAAAGGAGCTATTTTGGAATAGAGCTCTTCAAATTCTTAAGTGGTGGGAAGTTATGTTGATAACACTGGAGCCAAGGGTTTGGATATGTCCATGCATATTAAGGGTGTTACACACAGTTTCAGGAGCCGCCTGAAGTACAGAGGACTGAGGAATTGCACAGGCGGACGACTGGGGCCCTCGGGATCTGGGGGAAGGGGAGAAAAAGGCCAGGTTAAGCGGTAGAAGGGACGCTCTCCTGGGCCCGCCTCAGTACGAACCCAGGCAGGAACTGACCTTTCTTCCCTATTTGCCCTCTCTCTTCCCCTCCATTTCCTGGCTGTCCTGGGTGGAGCTGAAGATACACTTTGTGGGAGATAACAGGGGAAGAGTCTGGTCAAACTCAAGCTCAAAGAAGCCTGACCCAAGGGCTCCAGACATTCAAGCACCCCCTTAGGAGCCTGGACATCTCAGAGCGCTTTGCTGCGCTCCAGCGGAGTTTGGCTTGTGGAGAGATTATCCATGGAGTGGGGGTGCTCCAGCTCTAGACCTGACCTGTCCGAGAACATCCTGGGCTGACAGCACCTCGGACAGAGCCCGGGCCGCAGGGGGTGGTGCTGGGTGGTGAGGTGCAGGGGAGGGTGAGTGCCCAAGGGTGCATTGACTGGGGGAGGGGGGGTCGTGCGTGACGCTGGGGCACACATTGCGGGGGACGGGGGGACGCAAGGTGACAGGTTTACTCCGGCAAAGCCACCAGAACCCAAAATGTCAGGTCCTAAGTGAACAGTCACTCCACGCAAATGAGACTGGCACTGCAGATATCACGCTAAAAGGGTGAAGGCCTGGGTGGCCTCGGGGCGGGGCCTCCCCACCAGCCCGTAACTATTGGCCCTTGCAGCGTCTACGCTGGTGGGATGGCGGGGGTGGCCAGCTGGGGCGGAGTCTTCTGTCCCCTCCCTCGTCCAGCCGCACCCGTCCTCAGTGCTTCAGAGAGACCACTGGCCTGCTGCCGCCTCCTTGAACTGCCCCTACGGTGCGCCTGCCCAGGCGGAGACCGGAGACCGGTGCACTGCGGCCGGGCGGGCTGACGCAGGGGCGCCGGACCCGCGCTTGCGCAGCGGAGGAGCAAGAGAGCAAGGACCCCCGGGCCGGCGCGTGCGCGAGCTGGGCATGGCCCGTGGGCAGGCGCTGGGATGACCCTCCCGCCGCTGCTGCCCCACTGAGGAGACCGGGTGGGGTATAAGAGGGCGGCCCCCTCGCACCCCGGCCAGGCCATGGCGTTCCTGGCCGGGCCGCGCCTGCTGGATTGGGCCAGTTCTCCGCCACACCTGCAGTTCAACAAGTTCGTGTTGACCGGCTACCGTCCAGCCAGCAGCGGCTCGGGCTGCCTGCGCAGCCTCTTCTACCTACACAACGAGCTGGGCAATATCTACACACACGGTGAGCTGCGCCCCACATCCCATACCCGCGACAGCCTTGCCTGTGCTGGGCTGGGGGCCCGCAGGCCAAGGAGCAGGCCAAGGAGCGACCAGGTTCTGGGCTACCCCTGTCCTGGCACAGCCAAGAGCCACGGTGACAAAGCTGCTATTGTCCGGGACAGCACTGACTGCTTCCGCTACCCCGGCAGGGCCCCCAGGGCAGGCAAGGGGAAGCAGAGTGGGGGACCAAGTCTGCTTAATCCCTCTGAGCCCCAGGGAGAAGCAGCCTGATACCCAGCCCCTCCGTAATCCCAGCCCCTTGTGCACCTTCCCCACCAGCACCCGTCCCAGACTTGGGTGTTGATTCAGGGAGAAGGGGTCCAGGAGCAAAAGTTGGGCACCCGCCCCTCCGCACCTCCCCGCGCAGCCGCCCTGCCAACCCTTCCCGGAACAATCCAGTCTTGGGACTCCGCCTGGTGGTGACATCTCCGCTGCCCCACCACCACCTCCGTAAGCGCGGGGCCCTTCCTGTGAGGCCCAGCAGAGCTGTGCTGACCAAGAGAGGGGGCCGTGAGCAGGATGGGCCCAGCCTTGGTACCTCCTCCACTGGGGGACTGTGGCTTGGCCAGACCCTGCCAATAATGGGTAGCCAGAGGCCCCAGTCTGCTGTGCCCACATTTAACCCCTGTGAGGGCAATGGCAGAGTGCCAGCAGGGAGAGTAGAACGCCTAAGATGGGGGGAATGGAGCTCCCAGAGGAGGTGCCTGGGTTGAAGATGGAACAAGCTCTTTTCCACCCCCCTTTCCTGCCTGGCCTAGCCCCTTTTGGAAGACAGATTACAAAGCCTTCATTTGTCTAGTTACTTATGAAGAGGAGACATGGGGTTGGGAGGAATAAGCTAAATGGTCCTGGGATCTGGTATCATTGCCCCCATGTCCTTTTCAGAGCTCAGCTCTAGTCACATTGCATTCTGGTTTCTGCTGACACAGGAGGCCACGTTGGGGTTTGAGGTCCCTTGCTTTCAGGGAGGTGATATAGCTGCAAGGGTGAGAGCAGCTTGGGAGTTAAGACTGCCTGGGCTCTCTTCTACTTGCCGGAGACACCTGGGGCAGGTTACTCAGTGTCCTCACCTGTGAAGTGGGGATAACAATCTCTTCTACTTCCAGAAGTATTGTGAGCTCTGCTGAGTAACTTCCTGAAAGCCCAGGGCCTGCGTCTGTCCCAGGTCTGGCAACAGTTGTCTATCACCGTTGTCAAGACTTGTCTTGCTCTCATTCCTCTCATGTTGTCTCTAGACTGGACTCCTGAGGACATGACCTGTCCTCCGTGCTGAAGTTGTGTGATGGATAACTGTCTCCCTCCCCCAGGGCTGGCCCTGCTGGGCTTCCTGGTGCTGCTGCCAATGACCATACCCTGGGGTCAGCTGGGCAAGGATAGCTGGCTGGGGGGCACACATTGTGTGGCCTGCCTGGCACCACCCGCAGGCTCTGTGCTCTACCATCTCTTCATGTGCCACCAAGGGGGCAGCCCTGTGTACACTCGGCTCCTTGCCCTGGATATGTGTGGGGTCTGCCTTGTCAACACCCTCGGTGAGCCAAAGGATGGGGGGAGGGGCTAGAAGAATGAAAGCTGTGGGGCAAGTGGGGAGGGGGCAGTAGGGGACACTCATATGAATCCTGGGTAGAAAGGGCAGACAGACCCCCAGACTGATATGCCCTCTCCTGCTCTCTCCTCTGCAGGAGCCCTGCCCATCATCCACTGCACACTGGCCTGCAGGCCCTGGCTTCGCCCAGCTGCCCTGGTGGGCTACACCATGCTGTCAGGGGTGGCTGGCTGGAGGGCCCTTACCGCCCCCTCCACCAGTGCCCGACTCCGAGCTTTTGGTTGGCAGGCTGGTGCCCGCCTCCTGGTGTTTGGGGCTCGGGGAGTGGGACTGGGCTCCGGAGCTCCAGGCTCCCTGCCCTGCTACCTGCGCATGGATGCCCTAGCACTGCTTGGGGGGCTAGTGAACGTGGCCCGTCTGCCAGAACGTTGGGGACCAGGTCGCTTCGACTACTGGGGGAACTCACACCAGATCATGCACCTGCTCAGTGTGGGCTCCATCCTTCAGCTGCACGCTGGCGTCGTGCCTGACCTGCTCTGGGCCGCCCACCACGCCTGCCCCCCAGACTGAACCACCACCACCTACACAACATGCCAGCCTGCCCAGTTTTCTAGGGCTAACATCACCAGGCTCCCCTCCTTCTGCTGGTCTGCAAGGGGCTGGCTCCCTGGCCGCTTCCCAGCCCTTGTCTGTTCTCCCCTTCTTCCCTGTGGAGCTTCCCCCTATCCACACCTTCAAGCTCCAACATCCTTTCCTGCCTTCTTCCAGGGTACTGTCTTCCTCTGAAGGCTGGAAGGAAACCAATCCTCCTCAGGGCCTCAGCTTACCCTCTGTGACCTATGAGTTGGGCTAGAGGGGCTCTGGGGTCAAGTCTCGCTTGCTCTGACAGCCGGAGTCCTGCCAGCCCGAGTCCTGCCAGCCCAGAGCCATAACCCCACCTTGCCCCTCCTCAGACCCTCACATTAAGGTACCACATGGGTGGCTGGCCGGGCCACCAGCCCATGATTCCTGACCTCTGACTTTCAACCCTGCACATCAGCCCTCCTGGCAACCTGTGACTTGTCTACCCTTTCTTCCTTCTGTCCATACTGTGGAGTAGGGAGTTTGGGCAGCAGGACTATCCCCTCACCCCAGGAATAAGGGGCAGGAGGACCGCTGCTACTTTTTCCAGGCAACTGGCCCAGATGTAAAGAGCTGAGTGGCTCTGGACCTGGGCCCCACGTGGCTGCGGGCCCACTCTCCACATTGAATGCCATGCTGTAATAGCTCAACCTGCCCACCAGGGACATACCTGCTCAGGAAATTTGTTCCACACAGCATGGGGCTCCCAGCTGCAATCTGCTGGCCTGAGGCCCTGCTTCAAGGCTCAGCCTCAGCCCATCCCAGAGCCCTCAGACCCTGGGTGATGTCAATAAAATGGGCAGAAAGCCCTGTGTTGCCATGCAAGCAAGTTTGGGCGCTCCCAAGATTCAAATATGTTTTATTAGACATGGCTAGGCAGAAGGGACTACTGGAGTTCCCAGAGGGACCCCAGCCTCCAAGAGGATGCGGGAAGGAATTAAAAGGTTAAAAGCACCAGGGCTGTCTGGGCTCAGGTTGGGCCCAGTGAGTCCTCAAACAGGCTGAGGAGGTTCCGAGGCTCAAAGGAGGGGAAGGATCCCTGAGGGGCCTCAGAGTCAATGTCACTTAGGTCCAGGGCATCCCTGGGGGGAAGAAAGAGAAATGACACTTAAGATTCAAAAGACCCTCCTCCCTACCTCTGACCCTGAGCCCACTCACCTCAGTGTGTGCCTGCTCTGGGGGGTGGAGGTGCTCCTGGCAGCCCTGGCCAGGATGGCCTCTGGAGAGAGCAAGGGCCTACATGGGGTGGGTGAGACAAGCAGGGTGTCAGGCAGTGGGGAGTCCATGGGGAGGAGGCCCTGGGAAGAGCAAAATCAACCCTGTCCCTGTGCAGGCTCCTGCTGAACACACAGGGGCCACAGCTGGGGACAGTGAAAGTATAGTGCCCTTTCAAAGAATAATTTCCACAACTTTTAAAGTCTACCTGATCACACTCAAAGGCCACCTCTGTCCCTTTTCAGAACACAAGGACTTCAAATGAACTGACTTTGAAGAGAGCCTGTGATAAATGAAGCTTATCTGGTACTTCATGTCAGTTATAAAGTGTCCCTATGACAATGGGGTGACCTTTTCATAAGGGGTTAACGGTATGATTCCTTCTGAGAACTGTCTGCCCTGAGCATGTGGTTTTCCCCCCAGGATAGGAGCTTGCCAGGCTCTGGGAACTTTGTCCCGTGAAAAAGAGAATGCCTTGTCTTTGGGCACTGGCAGCCTCTACTGAGCTTGGTGCCACACTGCCTACCTTTCCCACTGGGTGCTGTGGCCCTCCAGCTGCTCCCTCACTTGGCAGTGCCTTAAGTGTGAAGTTGCCAGTTCTGCAGTGGCCATTCCACTCACTAAGCTTAGAAGAAACAGTTGCATTCAAACCAGGACAGGCTGCACTCCCGTCAGCCTCAGTGCCCTTCCCAGGGTATGATGGCGCCAGGTTTGCAGGAGGGATCCCTGTTCACCACTAGTCCCAATGGAGCCTGGCCTCTATACGGAGTTTGACCATGGTGGCAGCCCAGGTCTCCACCTCTACCCATCAGCCCGGAGCTCTCACCTACCCTATGCTGTCGTCATCCCAGTTGCTGGAGTGGCTGCTGTCCAGGAGGAAGCTGCAGGGTGGTGAGCCAGGTGGGGTGGCTGGAGGGCCCGGGGACTGCAGCCACTTAGCTGGGTGAACCAGCCCATGCCAGAGCCAGCACAACAGGGCAAGCAGGGCCTGTGAGGACAGGGAGCTGAGGGAGGCTGGGCAGACCCCAGGGCCAAGGATCAGGGTAGGAAACCCTGTCACTTTCACCAGGCTTACCTGCCACAGGGCCCACCCTCGACTCAGGGCTTCAGCAGCCATGTACCACAGGACACTCCAGGGCCGTGGCTGCCTGAGCATAGGCAGGGCCAGCAGGGCCTCAGCTGTAGGCCGAAGCTTGGGATCAGGCTCCAGCATCATGACGAGGACAGACCGCAGCTCAGAAGACAGGCCTGTCCATGGAGCAGGGCCATGTCAAGGGTGACTGGGCCTGGAGCCCAGCAGTCCCCCACAGCCTGCCATTCTCTTCCACTTGAGTCTCCCCTCCCTGTGGCACAATGTCCCCTCCCATCCTTGCCCCCTACTCACCGGCAGTGAACTCTGGGGGCAGGTAGCCCTGGCGCAGCTGTTGCCAGCCCTCTCCACCATGTGGTAGCTCCATGTTGCATGCAACTTCCAGGATGGTGAGACCCAGACTGGGGGGCAGGTGGTGGGGACAGAGACAGGGACAGAAGATAGGCAAGGTTGGCCTTGAGCCACAGATCCCAGAGTCCCAGGATGCCCCTAAGAAGGTGGAGAATGGCTGCTGTCTTCCACCATGAGCCAGGGAGATGGAGAAGGAGAGGCTGTGGGTTCTGAGAAGACCTCAGCAGGACCAATGATGGGAACACGTCATAAAGCGTGGATCCAGTGCCCAGCATGACCCACACACGACTGGTGAGTCCTCCTGCACCTCCACCTGACAGGCACTATGGTTATTAGTGTTATTGTCAGGGTCCTGTGGATATGGCTGGATAGACTGTTAGAGGCAGAGCAATGGTCACTGGCATGGACCATGGAACCCAGAGCCTGATCCAGTCCAAGCTTCATCACCTGCTAACTGGATTTTGAGCAAGTTTTTTTACGCCCCTTGTACCCATTCCCTTGCGAGTAATTGTCCCTCCATGGAGTTGTGGTACAGAGATGGGTAAATCTAGTGGGGCAGCTCCAGATGGTTCACTGTCTAGCCTGACTCTGTAGAACCCCCTCAACCAGAGGGTGGGGCCTTCGCCCTCTTAGGGCGCTGTCTCCTGGCTAGAGGCCACATCTTCTTGACTTTGAGCCAGGATGGCATTTCCCTCCCTCTGCTACTGTACCCCAGCCAGTAAGGACCTTCCACAGCCCAGCCTTTACCTGAACACATCGGCTGCTGTCCCGTAGGAGCCCTGCAGCAGCTCAGGGGCCATGTAGCGAGGATCTCCCTCCTGGGCCTCACCAGCTCCAGATGCATTTAGCTCCACCAGCAGCCCAAAGTCACCCAGTTTGCAGCGGCCCCGAGGCCCCAGGAAGATGTTGGCAGGCTTGATGTCAAGGTGGACCAGGCCTTGGCCATGCAGGTGAGCCAGAGCAAGGAGGGTATCCCGCAAGTAGCCCCAGACCTGAGCCTCAGGCAGGCTAGTGCCCCAGGCCTCACAGTGCTGCTGTAGGCTGGGACCACACAATTCTGTCTGCAGGTACAGGATGCCACCCTCCTCCCAAGCTCGCTCCAGTCGCACACAGCGTGGGTGCTGCCCCACCTTCTCATGGCCGCTGACCTCAGCCAGCTTTCGGGCCCGATCCTTGGGTCCCCGGAATGGCGACATAGAACGCTTTATTGCATAGAGCCGGCCGTCTTCCTTGGAGCGCACCTGGAAGATAACGCCCGAAGGTGGGGTGGGAGGTGGCCCGACCATTTAGCAGCACAATCTAGCAGATTCTATTAAAATTTCACATATGTGGAAGGTGTAATATGGCATTTACCTTAGAAAGACCCCTGCACATGCAATAGCAAGACCAGATGCTGGTTCCCTGGAGGCCCAACAAGGGAGAGACAGGGCAGACATCTAAGTACTAACACAGAGGGTGTCCCAGACTATTGTGAAGTGAAAAAAGCTGGCTACAGAACAACACAGGCAGTGTGATCCACTGTGTAGAATATTAATGGGTTTATATCTATATGGTCAATTTTAGAGGTGTAGAGAAAGTTCTGGAAGGAAGGATGCCCACCTGAGAAGCTCGGTGGTTTCCTCTGGGAAGAATTAATCTAGGGTGGAGGGGGCTGCATTTTAAGGGGGATAAATAGTAATGTAAAAAAAAATACAATTAGAAAAAAAGAAGTGCCCTGGCTAGTGTAGCGTAGTGGATTGAGTGTAGGCCTGCGAACCAAAAGATCACGGTTTGATTCCCAGTCAGGACACATGCCTGGGCTGCAGGCCAGTTCCCAGCAGGGGACCCACGAGAGGCAACCATACATTGATATTTCTCTCTCTCTCTCCTTCCCTTCTCCTCTAAAGATCAATAAAATCTTTTTAAAAAATAAAAAGAAGGAAGTAATCTAGGGGCCCATATTGTTTGTAGTACTTCTGTAAGGAAAACTACCATTTAAAAGGAAATAGAAATTATTAGAAAATATATGTTTAAAAAAGGTGGCATACAAGGCGTAGCCTAAGTGTTTGCGACCTAGGTCGGGGTGCGGAGGGCAGGGCAGAGCTCACCAAAAACCCCAGAGTGGCTGGCTCCAGGCTGGGAGAAGACAGTAGCCGGGAGCCACTACCAGGCATGCCAGGCTCTGGAAAAGGCAGTGTGCACCGAAGGGGCTGTCAAAGGGGCCTGTGTGGGGGTTATAAGAAAGTGGCCAAACCAAACACTGAGGACGGCCACCTGTCAGCCCACGAGAGGCAAAGGGGAGAGAGCTGCCCAGAATATTATCCTATCCAGGCACCTCCAGGCAGGCCCATAGAGTTGTTACTCCACTTACCTTGAAGACCTCTCCATAAGAGCCATGACCCAGGCGGCCAAGCCTCTGGAAACTCTGCTGGAAAAAGGACTCCGGCCGGCTTGGATCATACCCGGGGCTCTGCAGGGTCTCAGAGGCTTTGCCTTGAAATGACACGCTCCGAGGCTGGGGCTGGTGCCAGCCAGGGGTCCGAGGAGGAAAGAGACGACTAATGGGGATGCTGCCCTTGGCAGGGGGCCGGGGCGGAAGGGTCCGGCTAAGCCCCCTGGGCCTCTTGAGGGAAAAACCAGGTTCTGCGTGGCGAAAATAGGCTGGGACTGGGATGGGGGTGCCACTCAATGGCGGTGGGGTGCCTTCTGTGGGCACAGGCATGGCCAGCACAGGAGGCCCTGAGAGGTAGACTACAGAACAGTGTGTCCACTCAGATGGGTTCTTGTCCTGTGGCCCCAGAGAGGCTGTGGAAGAAGGCCGCGGCTACTCTGCACACATGTTCTGCTTTAAACATGGAGGCTGTGGGGACACGAGCACCTGCCAAGAAAAGGCAGAGGACAAATTATACAAACTTGCATACAGCTGTTTGTACCTGGAGGTCACAGAAACAACTGCATGGGACTGTGGCCCAGAGCCTCCCACAGTCCAGCAGAGGTCAAAACAAGGCAGGTTTGGGAGCCATACAGCATGTGCCTACAATCCCTGCCTTGTCACAACTGTTATTTGACATTAACATACACAATCTCTTCTAAGACGGTAAGGAGAAAATATTCACACAGACCTACCCTTCCTTATCTCCAATTCCAAAGTGGAAAAAAAGAAGGTCTGATTCCAAGTTTCTTGCCTTCT